CACAAAGCAGATGACCACTTGTTAGCAGACACGTCAGATTTAACTACAGTTACCTACAGATTCCAGCCAATGCACCATATCAGTGCTGTGAGCCTCTCATGGTAGAGCCCAGATACTGCTCCTTGCACAGAGATTGGTGAGTGTGTGGAGTGGGTGACCCAGGGAGGTGGTGAAGACAGATTATATCAATAAATTCTGGAGAGATTTGAAAAATATTTGGTGTTTGCGAGGTAGAGGAGAGTAGGATTATTTTATTTGAGTGCCAGGAACCAGCCCTGTACATCCCAGGGTTTGTAACTCACTGAAGTTCCTCACAAGCTTCCAAACACTGGGGTATGTTGCTCCCGGTCGTTGGGGTGGAATCAGTTTATATAGCCCCCACACTCCACAAATGTTGAAGAAGGGAGCAGTTGCCAGTGCAGCCAGCACTGCAATAAATCAAATCTAAACCATTGCTTATCACTTATTCAACCCAGACATTGAACCCACTCGTAAACCTATCAAGAAACAAATTCAATGGCTGTTGAATCTGTAGCTGGGCATGTGTGTGTGTGCATAAGAGCTGAAATTAAGTTGCACATTCGCTCATTATATAGTTGTGCACCAGCTGTCTTCAGTGACTCGCCCTCTCCACAGCACAGCTTTGCACTTAGTTTAAAGCTTAAAATCTTTACGCTGACTAAGATTTCTGATTTTTCCAAAAGAACGCATTCCCCTGAGACACAGCTAAACTGGCGTCAGTTGGAGCTAGTCCACAGGCTCAGACCCTGCACCTGGAGAGGGAAGTTACCTGGACAGTTCAGCCATTTCGATCTTGTTCAGAAGCTTTCTCTCTGTCACCTCGGAGCTAAAGTGAGATATCACGATACTGTTCAAGGCCCAGGAAATGCTGCATTGTAGCTGTTGCAAGGACTGAGGAAGATGAGCAAAGAATTATCCATTAGCAGTTATTTAATCTGGAGCCACCTCCCAACCCACCATAGGTCAGCTCAGCCCAGCCCAGGACAGCTCAGCCCAGGACAGCTCTCAGCCCAGCACAGGACAGCTCAGCACAGCACAGTGTGAATCCACAACTGAGTGCAATAGTTTCAACAAACGAGTCTCCAGCTAGGGAGTGAAGACAAATAGAGTTCTAGTATCTTGCAATCTTGCTGTTCTTTTAAGAGAGTAGAAGGTAGGTTTTTAATGGATCTCTTTAATGTTCGGGATACAGCCAAAGTCTGCGAACCAGTGCCTTGGGACGTCCTCCTGACGTGAAATGTAATTTTGCTGTTGTGTTGTTTTAGATAATTATTTGGGGAGGATAACTTTGTAGTGCTACGAGCAGAATGCGGGGGAGTGGGATTGACTTGGATAGCTCTTTTCAAAGAGCTGGTACAGACCCGATGGGGCAAATGGCCTCCTTCTGTACTGTATAATTCTATGATTTTCACCTACCCCACCCTCATGTATATTCCCTGCCTGCTACGTGCCTCCATCAGTGGTTAAGTTTTTAGATACTATGCCCCTGCCCTCTTTCTACCCTTGATCTTGCCCTCCCTTCTCATCTGTCTTTAAGACCTAGCTACAACCTAATTGCGACTATGGCCACCTCTCCTTACATGCTTGTGTAACATGCTTTTAAACATTATCCAATGTGAAGGGTTATATGTAAATACAAGTTGTTGTTTTGGACTGAAGTCTTGCTCTGTCAGGTTGCCTCAAAAGCTCTGTCAGAACTTCCCTCCCAGATGAGGTGTTTGGGTAGCTCAGTTTCACAGCTGCAGCCAGAGGCAGCTCTAATCCAATGTCAATCAATCGGGAGAGGAACTTGCAAGTGACCAGAGTCTGCACTGAAGTAATTAGATTCTGCCACCAGAGGGCAGCCGTGTGCCCCAGCAGTACCATTGCAGCCTCTAGTGGTAGAGGCCAGGTATTACATCCAGGACAGTTTAAAAAAACAATCCGGGCTCAGCCCCAGTTATCGCCCCAAGTTTCAGTCTGTGCAGCTGTTTCATTTAAACGTTTTAGATTTGCAAAATTATGGTGAATTCAACCTTAATTTGAAAGACAGTTTGGAATATAGGAACAGGAAGAAGCTTCCAAATTAGGACTGAATTTAACAATTTTGCACATTTCGACAAAATGGTCCATAAAATAAGACTATTAAGCATTTCAGGCCTCAGGTCTCTGGTCCCAGTGTAATTGGGGACTTGCCTCTTGCAGTGTGTCCTTGCACAGAGGGCATCGCGATTTGTAGTCCAGGCAGCACACAAGGTACTCTTTGCAGAAGGTGTGTCCACAGGGTAGTGGGCTCCAGATACATCCTCACAGGTAACCCACATTCTGTCAGTGTTTAGAACTGGAGCAGTCAGGCCGAGTAAAATGATCAACATAAATTCCTGGTGCTGAGAGATACTCCAGTTCCCACATTTGTTTCACTGCCAGCATTATGCACACATGTGGTTGTCCAACTTAAAGAGGTCCCACGGGCAGTGCAGGGACACGAAGCTGATCGCCAATGTGTGCGAGACAAGCTTTGAGGAATTGGATAAGTTAAAACACTTTCACCCTTGAAAGACCACTTAAGGGGGACATTTTAGAGGTATATAAGATTATGAACGGGATTGAGAAATTAAACCCTGAAAAAATTTAGATATGCCAGTGTGGCAGAACAGGAATGCGCGGGTTCAGGGTGTGAAGGGTAAGCAACAAGGTGAATGCATAAGGGACAGAGAGAGCAGCAGGAATGTGTGCATACTGTCATTGTTCTATCACCTCAGATCTTACCTTGTGCAGAGATAGGACAATCAAAGTCTGATACACTGATGAGATCAGATGGGATAGAACTGGGAGTGATGTCCAGTGGATCAACCTTATCCTTGGCACCTGGGAAAAGAGAACCACATAGAGCTGAGCCTTCTTACAGTAACACTGTCACTGGAACTGGGCAATGCAGGAACCAATCAGTTAATGCAGTTGAAAATCGTGCAAGTTTATGGCCCAGGAAAAGGTCACTCAATGTTCCATTATCCACTCTCATCACCACCTTTTCTCCATATCCCTCAATGAATGTACCTTGCTTTACACATGCTAATTATTTCTGCCTCTACTGCCTTCTCTCTTTTACAGTAAATTCTCACTCCTGAACCCTTGCCCTCCATATAAAGAAATAGTCTATGAATCTCACTTCTAATTGGTTTCGCTCTAATTTTAAGACTACCATGTTTTCAATCGTCCTGTTTGAGGGAAGAGCATTTCTTTTCGGGAACCATTTGATCTCTTTCTCATCTCACAGCTTGAGGTGATGAACCAGGTCAGTAAACATGTCAGTGATGTAGAGGTGGTGATTGTTGGTACTTACGCAGACTCTTCTCCAGGATTGGAGGTTCATTCCTCTCCTCTCTGCCCAGCTCTGGGCAAGTTCTGTGTGACTCCCTGGCAATGTGTTGGGTATCTCCATGCTCTGTTCAAGGGACCGTGTATATTAAACTAGAATAATTCTGATTGCAGCTATTCTGAGACACATTATTGATGTTGAAAATACCAATATTTCCTCTCCTCTAACTCCAGAGGTAGAAAGAACTTACAATTTCATAAAACATTATGTTGATAAGTCTTAAAGTACATTGCAGTAATTACTAACAATTGCATATTTTTGTATGGAAACACAAGAGCATTTATACATACAGCAAGATGCCACACACAGACATGAATTGAATGACTAATTAATCTGGAGGATAATTGGCTGGAAACTCCTGTCTCTCATCCAATAGTGGGACAGGGTTTAAGGTTAAAGGACTGCACTTCTGACAATATAGCACCTCCACCCCCACCACGCCCCACAACTGTGATCTCAAGTTCCCAACTGTGGAGCTTGAACCTATGATCTTCCGAGCCAGAGGTAAGAGTGCAACTGGCTGAGGCAAACTGACACCAAGTTAAATTACAAAATTAAATTATAAATGCCCACTCTACCCCTTCCCCCTTCACTCAGATTGTTACTAACTGAACCCAGCCTGAACCCACGTTAACCAGCCTCACACTCTACCCAGCTTATTTTCAAGGAATGAAGCACTGCAGCAGTTGCTGTTATTCTAGATTCACAATGTGAGGAACAAGATGCTGTTGCTTCACACAGGTTCATGTTAAACCTCTGTGCTGTGGTTTGACATCAAGGCCCGGATGAACACCAATTTTCTGCAACATGACATGGAAAAGATGGAAGCTATCCTCCTTGGCTCTCGTCTGTCTTCTCACCAATGGTTCCGAACCTTCCCGCCTATTCCTGAGACTCAATGATGTTAGGTTCAATCCCCAGTTACCTTCCTCACCTGCAAGATCAAACCATATGTCATTAAATGCTCTGGGATGCTACCCATGTGAAGGACGCTATACAAATGCAAGTTGTTGTTGGTCCTCACCCTCTAAATCACATTGTCAACAACAACAACTTGGATTTATATAGCGCCCTCCAACCCAGACGGCGTCTCAGAGCGCTTCACAGTAACGGATCCCATTGCCGAGCCAGTGGGAGGGGGAAGAAGGTACAGTCGAAAAGAAAGGTCTTCAGCCGAGACCTGAAAATAAGAGAGGGGGCGAGGCGAGGCGAAGGGAGTTTGGAAGGGTATTCCAGAGCCTCGGGGCACAGTGGCTGAAGGCATGGCTGCCGATGGAGGATTCGGGGGACACGGAGGAGGCCAGTCAGAGATTGTTGCTGTGTCCAGGGTCTTGCGATCTGGGGAGAGCAGCGTAGCCGGACACAGGCCTTTAAAACCAATATTGTTGTCAAAATTTAAATGTCTGTAGATTAGGAAGTGGAGATTGAATGAGCTCCATAATACTGTGATAAACAAGGTATCCCCGGGGGCGGGGCTCTCCCCGGGGGCGGGGCTCTCCCCGGGGGCGGGGCTCTCCCCGGGGGCGGGGCTCTCCCCGGGGGCGGGGCTCTCCTCGGGGGCGGGGCTCTCCCCGGGGGCGGGGCTCTCCCCGGGGGCGGGGCTCTCCCGACTTCGGGGTTCAGTTACGGTCGTAATTGGATTTGCATTGTTAGTGTTGTTGACTGTTCGCGAGAAGCGCATCGTGAAAGGTATTTGTGCAGCTCATCCCTCCGCCTGAAACCCGACTCCCCGCCTCCATCCCCGGCTCCAGCCCCCATTCCCGGCCTCCATCCCCGGCTCCAGCCCCCATTCCCGGCCTCCATCCCCGGCTCCAGCCCCCATTCCCGGCCTCCATCCCCGGCTCCAGCACCGACTCCCCTTTTCAGGACCGGACCCCTGGCTCTGACTCTCGGCTCCGGCCTCTCAGTAAGAGTTGTTGAGATGAAAGTTCCCGTAACAATAGTTATATTTTATAGGGAAACCTTTCTGAAGCCTCAGCGATTTCTGTGTTTCTCAGTCAGTAACTGTGTGTGGGGCGGGGGGTGTGGGGGTGTTGTGCGGGGGGGGGGGTTGGGGGAGCTCAGTCCAGGCTGCGGGGGTTGGTGTGGGGAGGCTGGATTATTGGAAAGGAGAAAAGAGTTTCTCCCAAAGGTTAGACCGACATTTCTCCAGATAAAACAAATCTCTGCATTTCTTGTGACACCTTTCAGACCAGGAAGACGTCTCAAAGCGCTTCACATGATTTACTGTGAAGTGTAGTACTGTAATTTGTAGGTGAATAAGTTCATCATTCACTTCGTTGTTGTTTGTGAGACTTTGTGTGGAGATGGACACCAGGTTTTCTTACAAATACAGTCACCACTTTTGGCACGTTTTAATGATATAAGGTGCTATAAAAGTGAACGTTTTCTGATTGTTTTCTGATTCCAATCTTTTTTTGTAGCCGACTCCTTTCCTACCTCAGCAACTCAGCACCTCCTGAAGGTGGATGTAGGTAAATGATGCTGTGAATATCGATCGCTTAACATTCAACAAAAGCCAAATCAGACTGTAGGATCCAACAGTGGTTATTGGGGCTTTCGATTTATAGTCTGGGCTGAACCCTGTCTCCAATGTTAATGCTGAGCCACACCAAAGGGTTGATCTGTTTGTCAACTAGTGATATTCTGTAAACTGGGTCAAAGTCTCATTTTTTCTTTCAGATGAGAGGTGAAGTTGACCATTGCTTGGCACTTCAGAGACAGGTACTGTGAAGTTTGATCCTTTGAGTTCTGAAGCACATTTGAGGGCTTACACACTGTTTCAGAACAAATAACACAGAATATGATAGCTGCCAACCTCAATGTCCAGCATTCTTTGTGTACTTTATGCTGGATTGATATGTGTTCTATTACCAGGAAGTGGACAATGAACCAAATAATAATGATCAATAAGTGAGCAGTGATATATAAGATGAGGTAAGAAGCCACAATTAGTTGCAGTTCATTGTTTGAAGCATAGTTACAGATGACGCCATTTTTACCAAGTGGCAATGTAAAGGAGGCGAGTTAATTGCTCACACAGTGTGGGCTGGACACAATCCTCAATAGTAATGGTGGTCATCTGTCCTGTCTGAATTCTATTGTACTCAGGGATACATAAACATAGTCACACACACACACGTAGTGAAAGAGGCACACATGGACATAGTGAGTGAGAGACAGAGACACAATCACATACCATGCATTGGATTACTAGCCTGATATAAACACAGAAGTTGCTGGGAAAGTGCAGCAGGTCAGGCAGCATCCATGGAGAGTAGAAAATGAGTTAACATTACAGGGCTATGACCTTTCATTCTGATGAGTCCTGACAAAAGGTCGTAGACCTGAAACGTTAACATATTTTCTTTTCTCCATGGATGCTGCCTGACCTGCTGTACTTTCCCAGCGACTTCTGTGATTATACCAGATTTCGAGCATCTGCAGTACTTTGCCTTTTGTTCACTAGCCTGTTTGTTACTGCACTAAAACTGGACACAAACTATTAACATGGTGAGCTGAATACATTTGCAAATCACTATTGAGGAAATTAGTTTGGTAATGTCTCTCTAGCTCGAAATCGGTCCCATTCACTTTCTCTCTGCATCTCTCATGCTCGCTCTCAATCTCTCTCACATGTGTCTCTGTCTCTCTCTCTCTCTGTTTCTCTCTCGCTTGTTCACTCATTATCTATCTGATCATGTGTATATGAGTTGTTTCAGTGTCTCTCACATCCTCTTGTCTCTCGATGGTGCAGACACTAATACATATGGCATTTGTACCATTACAGATGGAAATTTAATCTGAGCAGCTTTGGATGGGCAATGCTGTAAATGGGGGTAAATGTGTACCTGTTTCTCTGAATAAAATAATTCCATTGTCTTATGGCTCACAGGAAGGACATGTTTGGGATTCAGTGAAAAAAGCAGCTTTCATCCTGGGCTCAGGACTACTGGTATTTGCAGCATTCAGGAACACACTGACATGGTAAGCGGTTGGGGTGCGGTGTGGGGTGGGGAGGCAGTGAGTACAGGGCAGGGTAGCAGGAGGGACAGAGTGGGGCAGGGGGGCCCTTATACAAACATTCAGTCTTCACACTTATTTTAGAGAGTTGCACAAAGCAGTGTGTGATGACACTGTTGAGTTGCTTTCCTTTGAGCCCATTTCAGTTCATGTCTTGTAACTATGAAACTTGTTGTCAGAAACTTCTAGAAAGTCTGGGTAGTTCAGATTGTCTTTGTCATCTTCTCTGCTTGTGTCATTTCTAATGTTTTTTCCACAGTATTTGTACTTCCCCTGCACTATAGTTCTCTATAGGTGTATGTGCGGGTGACCAGTGACCCACTCTTGCTCTGTCAACAGGCATCTGCAGTGGTTCTGGGGAGCTTCTGGAGACTTCTGGCAATCCCACTGGGAAAAGGTTCACAGCTTCTTTGGCGGGAAAGAGTGGGCTCTCTTTTTACTTGGTGAGTGGATCGGAATGGCTGACGATGACAGAGAAAACGATATAACTCCCAGCTGCAGCTTCAGACAAGACAGTTTAGCTCATAGGTGTGTGTGTTTATGCTGAAGTCATACCTGATAGCTGTTTCAGTGTAACTAACAGATGCAGATATCAGGTACACATTGTATCATCCAATCTCCTTCCTAAGCTTCTAGTGTGAGCTAAAGTGACAGTAACATCATGAAGCCAATGGGTGAGATCTGGAATCTGTTGTGATGTCATTCAGCACGCTGCTGCAGAGGTGTTGTCAGCAGTATTGAGTGACAAATGTTTGACTGTAGCTGTGTTTGTTGGTGTAGGCACTCTGGTGATTCCCACTCTTGTCTTTTGGCTGTTTAATGCACTTTTGACCATGGTGGATCTGACGGGAAAGCCCAGAGCAGTAGCTCGCTACAAGATTCAGATTGGTAAGAACCAGCCAGTAAGTTCAACTTGATCTTTTTACATTTATCCAACTGAACAAGTATTTACTGCTCAAGTATTTACCTGAGTATTGCAGGACTCCAGCTGGGATAGGAAAGTACCACTTCATTATCACTTCCTCTGACCTGCTGTATTAACTAAACCTCAAAATCCTATTCACTCTCTGTCGAGCCACCAAACTCTGTGCGATGGTCACAATTTCTGAATTATTTATTGTGAGGTTGGAAGTTAGAAACGTTAAACACAAAGCTCTGTTGAATCAACTTCACAAACTGTGCTGACAAGTCAAATATTAATCAACACAAGATCCCTTCTACTCAGAACAGCTAAATACAGCCTTTGTCCTATGTCCTAAAAACAGTGATAATTTTCTGGGAAATTATCTGGGAAATCCAACTTCAAAACCTGCTTCAAGGTTCATCTTTTCAACTGGATTTTCAGTCACCCACCTACTTATCGCCACTGTTTTTACCTCTCCCTTTGTCTGGTTTCTTGCAGTTGGACCCATCTCGGCTTCACCAGGCAGTTGCCACAGTGCTTGTTAATCAATTCTGCCTCTCTTTGCCGATGGTGGTGCTGATGTACCCTGTCATGCAATGGCGGGGGAGCCCATGTGGGCCGGAGCTGCCCACCTTCCACTGGGTGCTGCTGGAGCTCAGTGTCTTCGGGCTGCTGGAGGAGCTGCTCTTCTACTATTCCCATCGGTAAGTGGCCCTGATCATGCAAATGTACAGCGTTAATAGGAGCTGAGTGAAAGATTTCCTGTTCCCAATGAACAGTCTGCTCCTCTAAGTGCCAGGCTGAGTTAGTCTGTCATTAGCTGTGTCCTGGAGGACTGTGAACCTGCACTGCTTGGACTGGATTAGAGACCGCCACAGAGAGTGGACTTGATTCTGACATTCAGACCCATAAACGTGAACTATTTGGACATTTGTCTAATGTGCCACAAGCTTCATCTCCATTGAGATCTTGCTGTCATTGAATAACCTATTGTTCATGAATATCTTTCCTTTTTCAAGTGAATTATTAAAAAAAATGATTTAGTCCTTGGAACATTGAAATGTTTTGAAGCTTCAGGGTAACTAATCTGAAGTGTAATGAAAGTTATATGCAGGGAAGTGGAGAACTGCTTCATTTAAGTTCTGTGTTGTTAATCAGCAGGCTGATTATCACAGTGCCTGTCAGACTTCCTGCACAGACACTGGAGTTTCTGACGGTCTGATTGTTTTTAGGCTTTTTCATCACCCAACTCTCTATACGAGAATCCACAAGAAGCACCACGAATGGACAGCGCCGATCGGTGTGATCGCCCTATACGCACATCCCATCGAGCATGTGGTATGCTGCAGTTATGTAGGGTGTAGCACTGAGCTCTACTCGCATTGTCAGCAGGAAGTGTTAGCAGTGCCTAGTCCAGAGTGTCAATGGGTGAAGGAGAGTTGAGGGAGTAAATGCCAATTTGAGTCCTCCGAATAATCCTGATGATTAATGTTGACAATGTACCACTGATATATAACCTGCATTCTCCCCACTCACACCCAGTGGGTTTCCAGATGGATCTGTAATAACTGGTCAGCACAATCTAATCTGTAAATGCTTTGATACCTTCACTTTTAACTATGAATCTCATGTATGGGAGCCATTCACTTTTACCAGTGAATCTCCATACACAGCAATCTATGGGATTGACTCCAGTTATGAGCATTTTTTTCCTTCAAACAGAGGTATCAACTCCTATTGCTGAGAATTGTTCATTTCTGTCAACATTCACATGAAAGTTATGACAGCACGTGACAACAACTATTTACAGTGCAGGATAGGTTTTGAAATTGAGAAAAGTAGGTGAAGGTTCAAGGCCCACAATGTAGCAACACTAATCAAGTGGTAGAGATTTGGAAGAGCATAGTCTGAGGTTAATAGCCTGAAGGGAAGAATGAGGCTAGAGTTGTTCCACAGGTTGAGTGCCTGGGAAAGATGCAGAGAAAGTGCAATGAGTTGTCAGAATTTTTTTAAAAAATCAGGAATTAAATTGCTATAAAATGAGCGATCACAAATTAGATTGCATGTGTGGTATTTGCACATTGTAGTGCGTATGTCAATTGCATGTATATTATATGCATGTCTTAATAGAAATTGTGTTTTGTCTTTTAGTTTTCTAACATGCTACCATCTATGGTTGGACCAATACTTTTGGGATCACACGTGGCCACCACAATGCTTTGGTTCTGTTTAGCACTTCTGGTCTCCACGATCTCACATTGTGGCTACCATTTGCCATTCCTGCCATCACCAGAGTTCCATGATTTCCATCACCTGAAGTAAGTGTTGGGTAACCATGTTTATTATACTTTTCAGCCAATAAGACAACGGCAAGATCTACATGCGAAGTAGACACAAACCAGTGTCACAAGCTTTTCACCAGTTGTGCAGGACAACCCTTTCAGGGCTTTGGTCTGCAGAGTTAACAAGAGTTGGAGGAAGAATCTTAAACGGCAGTCTGTCCTTCCAAGTCCTCCAGATGAGCCAGCTGCCTGGCCTGTCTTCAGCAGTGGCTTGCAGTAATGTGGATCTCCTTGGCTCAGGAGCTGGACAACCAAGACAGACTCGATTCCAACCTTCCATTGCCAAATGTGGCATTGTAGTCAGTTCAGGCCTCATTGACCTTCCTGCCTCTCCCCCCCTCAGGAGGAGTCACTACTTTGTTATTTGGTATTTGATAAGTGCAGATTTGAGCCTGCACTTGGTAGATGGCACGTAACAGAAACTAGCTAGTTTGCTGAACAGTGCAGCTCAGCATGAAATGTATGAGACCATTACCACCATCTTCCTTGCCCAGCTTGGACACACACCCCTTCCTATTAAGTGAGCGTTCGTCCTCAGTTAGAGGCCCAGAGACAGAGCAGCAGCTACTTTCCTTTCTACAAGATAGCTACCCTCACTATAGGAGCGTGTGTTCATGAACCTGAACTCCAGATCTGAAGGCTGAAGCCACATACATTCCAAAATTTTGGGAGATGAGTTAGTGAGATTAGATTTGTCGCAGTATAGAATGGTATGGAATGGTCTGTGATATATTCAGCTTAACTGACTGAATGGCATTTCCTGTTCCCTCTTGCAGGTTCAATCAGTGCTATGGTGTACTCGGTGTCCTGGATCGTCTTCATGGCACAGATACCGTTTTCAGACAAACCAAAGCTTATGAGCGGCACACACTTCTGCTCAGCCTAACTCCGCTGTCTGAGAGCATTCCCAATTCCCCCAAGGAAAAGTGACGCGGGGTCAAGCAAACAGTTGAGATGTCCATTTCTCCTGCTTTAATAATCCTTAATAATGAATGTTGCGGTTTGATTTTATCTGAAGGAATCTGCTGTTTGGGATCGGCACACTTCGCCCATCTTAATCTATACTAATAAAACAACAATTTCTGTCTGCGCTTGAAGAAGGATCTCAATAAATGATTGACATAAGAGGCATGATCTATGCCTCATCGGAAAGGTCTGGCAAGTGGGAGTGACACGGGCATATTTATTTTTGGGTATCTCATATCATTCACGAGTTATTTTCAGTTTTGCATTTTTTGCTGCAGTTACACCTGGTGGCTGCCGAGTTATAGTGGCGCTGGCATTGTGCATCACAGAGCACCTACAATAACTTGCACTTATATAGTGCACCCCACCTCCACACTGGGTAATGTCTCAGAAGAGTGCTGAACAGTGGTGGAGCTCGAATCTGAGCCTGGTACGTGGGGGTGTGGTGGCTGTCAAAGAGGAAGGTTTTCAGACTTGGAAAAAGGGGAGGGGACGAGGCGGAGGGATTGAGAAGAGTGTTCCAGAGTTCAGGGACGTAGTAGCTGTAAGCACCTCTGATGGTGGGTCGAGCGGATATGCCGGGTTGTGGATTGGGGAGTGAAGATGTCGGAGAGGTAGGGAGGTGCCAGAGAGTGAGGGGATTTGAACATGAGTGTGAGGATCTTGAAGTTGATTCGTTTGGTGATGGGGATCCAATGGAGTTTGGGCGAGAACTGGTGAGATGTGACATACAGAGTTTGGTCTGAGTAAGTATGCAAGCAACAAATGAACTGGATCTTTTGAACAGTGGAGCTGGGGAGACCGGCAAGGAGTGTGTTTTGAGTAATCCAGTCGGGAGGTGACAAACGCATGCACGAGGATTTCGGCTGCATTGGGGTAAGGTACGGTCAGAGGCGGGCTGTGTGGCAGAAGGTGTCCTGGTCAGGGACTGGATGAAAGGGAGGAAGGACAGCTGGTGGTCGAACCTGACACCTATATTGCATACAGTGAGTGTGAGGGAGAGCCCAGGGAGGTTGAGGAGTTCAGATCCGCAGGAGTGAAGACGTTAATGGGAGCCAAGGAGTATGGCTTACGTTTTGTCCACATTCAGCTGTAGGAAGTTTGCACTCACCCAGGCCCCAATATCTGCTATTATGTAAGCATGCACTGCAGCTATGCATGCTAGCTGCGCTGGCTGACTGTGGCATCTTGCGTCACAGAGCACACACAGTCAAGTGGCGGGACAAAATAAAGACCATGAAACTAAGCCGCAACAACAAAATTACATTGTTAAAGTGCTGAGTCCTCCCACAGGAGTCCCCCCAGATGAGTATAGATAGGTGAAATGTCTTGTCTGTCAATCTACATTCCATATTGAATCCTTTCATTGCACGCAAAGCTGCAACGGGTACAGCTAGTCTGTTTATCAAGGCCTCTCGTCTTTGGGTATATTCTATCGCTGTCTCCTGTACAGCAACACAAAACACTGGTTAACTTAACCACTAGATTAAAGCTTGCTTCACATATCTATACTGTACTCGTACATATGCTTACTCATCACCTGAAGGCAGTACCTCAGTGGTGAGCTGGAGGCTGACTGCAGACTCAGGAAAAGTGCATTTCCCAATGATTGCCTGGTGCAGCAATGCACACACATACAATGGAGGAAGGAAAAACAAGGGCATCTTTGAAAAAAGGGATTAAAAAAAATTAATTGTATTTTTGGAAATTGATTGAACTACAACAATTCCATTGAGCAGCAGAACTGTGGCTTCTACACATTTCAGTAACTAGCATAACTGGCAAATTCCTCCACTCATACATGGATAAACTTTAATCAGATTGTAGCAAATTTACATAGAACATTGATTTTTTAATTAAATTCTTAATCCTCAAATTGTTTTTGTGCTGGAACCACTTTAGTGGAGTCCTGTAGCTCAGTGGTTAGAGCACTCGCTTTGCAAGCGAGAGACCTGAGTTCAATTCCAGGCAGAGGGCGAAACCTTGGGCAAGTTTCCTTACTCCACACAGAGCCTAATAATAATCCCTCCAAAACCAAAAACAATAATAAATTGGTCAAATCCCAGAACTCAACCTGTAGATGAAGGTGAGAATCCCGTGTCAACACATCGCACGATAGCTAAGCCCCCAGCCCCAAACGCACCCCACTTACATCCCGAGGGGGGCTATGTGTTGTCTGGGCTGGGGATGTTGGAGGGGGTTGGTGGGGGGGGCGATGTGTTGTCTGGGCTGGGGATGTTGGAGGGGGAGCGGTGGGGGCTATGTGTTGTCTGGGCTGGGGATGTTGGAGGGGGTTGGGTGGGGGGGGGCTATGTGCTGTCTGGGCTGGGGATGTTGGAGGGGGTTGGTGGGGGGGGCGATGTGTTGTCTGGGCTGGGGATGTTGGAGGGGGGAGCGGTGGGGGCTATGTGTTGTCTGGGCTGGGGATGTTGGAGGGGGTTGGTGGGGGGGGGCTATGTGCTGTCTGGGCTGGGGATGTTGGAGGGGGTTGGTGGGGGGGGGGCTATGTGTTGTCTGGGCTGGGGATGTTGGAGGGGGTTGCTGGGGGGGGGCTATGTGTTGTCTGGGCTGGGGATGTTGGAGGGGGTTGCTGGGGGGGGGCTATGTGTTGTCACTATCCTATACTCGTGTTTCTACGTGAAGTCTCGGTCACAGATAGGAACCACCTATTTGAGCTGTGATACCGTGTTGTATTGGTGTCACTTGTGGCATTGCAATCAGTGCTGTAGCTCAGTGGTTAGAGCACTCGCTTTGCAAGTGAGAGACCGGAGTTCAATTCCAGGCAGAGGGCGAAACCTTGGGCAAGTTTCCTTACTCCACACAGAGCCTAATAATAATCCCTCCAAAACCAAAACAATAATAAATTGGTCATTTTCAATCCACGACTGTTTGTGGGACATTGCTGTGCGCAATTGGCTGCCGCGTTCGCCCACAAATACAGTCAATTCACTTTACAGTGTGTTCTGTGAAGCGCTTTGGGACGTCCTCCCGACGTGAAAAGCGTTATATCAAATGCAAGGATTATTATTATATTGGAGGGGGTTGGTGGGGGGGCTATGTGTTGTCTAGGCCGGGGATGTTGCAGGGGGTTGGTGGGGGTGGACGGTGGGGGCTATGTGTTGTCTGGGCTGGGGATGTTGGAGGGGGCTGGTGGGGGGCTATGTGTTGTCTGGGCTGGGGATGTTGGAGGGGGTTGCTGGGGGGGGGGGCTATGTGTTGTCTGGGCTGGGGATGTTGGAGGGGGCTGGTGGGGGGGGGGCTACGTGTTGTCTGGGCTGGGGATGTTGGAGGGGGTTGGTGGGGGGGCTATGTGTTGTCACTATCCTATACTCGTGTTTCTACGTGAAGTCTCGGTCACAGATAGGAACCACCTATTTGAGCTGTGATACTGTGTTGTATTGGTATCACTTGTGGCATTGCAATCAGTGCTGTAGCTCAGTGTTAGAGCACTCGCTTTGCAAGTGAGAGACCTGAGTTCCATCCCCGGGGGGTCAGTCAGGGCCAAACCTCGGGCAAGTTTCCTTACTCCACACAGAGCCTAATAATAATCCCTCCAAAACCAAAAACAATAATAAATTGGTCATTTTCAATCTACGACTGTTTGTGGGACATTGCTGTGCGTAATTGGCTGCCGCGTTCGCCCACAAATATACAGTCAATTCACTTTACAGTGTGTTCTGTAAAGCACTTTGGGACGTCCTCCCGACATGAAAAGCGCTATATCAAATGCGATTATTATTATTATTTATACAAACCATTCCCGCATCTTATGCCGTTTTGAGGAGTAACATTGTTCTATGCTTTCTGACCTGGACAGGCAAACTTTGATACTGCACACTGGACGTATCTTTTGACAGCTGCTTATTCTTCTTGTTTGCTGTCAGCCTTTGCTCTTAACCCCAAGACTTAATCTCGTCAAAAGTTACCTTGTTTGCTAAATTCCAGAATATTCTGCTCTAATTAAAGCATATGATGAAAATAAAAACATTTATTGCTGTTTCAGTTATGAATTGGATAAAACCCAAGGCCTTTTGGGGTGAAAAGCAAGGGAAAAAAATGATTGAGAGAGAGATGGATATTGCTAAACACTTCACACTATGAGTAGCAATATCCCTGTTGAATTTACAGTCACAGCATGATTCACACATTTTGGTTATTAAATGAGGGGGGGGGGGGGGGGGGGTTGGAGTAGAATCCTGTGCTGCTGAAATATATTTTAAGATCATCCAAGCTGTTAAAATCAAGCTTTGCTTAGGCTGAAAAAAAGACAAACCACAAGTCTTTGTTTTTTTTAATTTTTTGTACATTTTAAATTTTTTTATATAAAAGGAAAGCAGAATTACCACAAATTACAAGGCATAAACACTACCCGGAAGGGATCACAGACTAAAAAGCAAATACTCTAATTGATTAATATTTTATGATACAATACAAGCTCTTGTTCAAGTATCTTACATTTTGTTTTAAAAGTGGGATAAACCTGCATTTGTTTTAAATATGTCACAGCAACAAAAACAGATCATGTCCAGCGCATCCACTGTAACATGGCATTGAGCCACCATTTACTTCAGGGTTGTTATAACATCTAATTATTCCAAAGTACAACTCTCCCAACAGATACAGGGATTGCAATACTTGAACCCCATCTTTACCTAAAGAGATCCAAGCTCACTAAACCTTTAGATCCCTTCTCCAAACGAGTCTGGTCAATTTTATTTTGCATTTTTGCTGTAATAAAAACAGCAGTCATGCTTTCTGTTTCCGTCATGGAATCTGATTTAAGTTTTAATGGAGGAAATAGTCTTTTAAATAGGTCAGTCAGTTGAAATTAAAACAGGGGCTGAAAATATCATTGGTGAGAAGTCCAGCTCCTTTCTCTCCAGCAGGAGGGAACCCAACAGCAATTCAATGATAAAGTCCAAACCAGTTAAGAATATCAGGTAAGCATGACAGAGCACTCCCCCTGACACGAGAGCATTTACATAGTTAACAGTAGAGATAAAACAATGCATTTTCATAGGCCATTTTCAGATATGCCTTAAAAAGAAAATGGGAGTCTGAAGTAGTGATTTAAAAGTATGAGATTCAAACTAAAATGAAAACAAATATCGCTTTTGCAAGTGTTAGATTTGGATGGAACAAAAAAATTAAAATTCAATGTTTCTCAGCTCAAAACAACCTTAATGCCTGGGAATGAAATGAGATGCAAATCTGGCCCTTTAGTCCAGCTCCCTCATGTAAACAATTCAATGAATGAAGCATGAAGATTTCAGCAAGTAAGGTCCATATCTAGCAACAACCTGCAATAAAATCAAACTCCAAAATAAAAGGTTGCCTATTCAAAATACACCACATTTACACTTAAAACTACTTCATCTGAGACTGGACACTGGGGTGTTCACATTCTTACAAAAATTACCCTTTCTGCCTAGTTCATGCAAGTAAATAGCTACCCAGTGAATCAGATACCCAGAGCTGAGGCTCAACACTTCTACCACCACTCACCAAGAAATCCAATGAAAAGTTTCAAGGAATATAGTTTCCAGCTGTGATAAAGACTATCCCAGGATACTGTTGGAAAGTTCTTGATTTCTCTGCCTTGCTTATGCTTCAGTTATTGTTAAATTACCAAAACACAGCTCAACAGGGAACAAGCCTTAGTTTCACGTCAAGGTACATCATTAAGTGTGACCAGGTAAGTTTCCAATATTGTGGCTTGGAATGTCAAACCGTCCACCCAATCTTTCAAAGCAAAATATTGTCGCCATTCATTTTTCCACAGCATAATTTACACCAGTTACTCTCAAACCAAACTTCAAACATGTCCAATATCCCCAGTGGGCCTGTGCAGTTGTTCCATTTGAAAGCCACCTTCTTTGGCTATGTTTTGGTGAGTCTAACACATGGCATCTCTGAATTTAGGGGCGGGTGACGTGACTTTTGTTTGCAAAATTAAGCGCATCTCTGGCCTGCATTTGTAATTGTAACCACATACTGGTCTGTATCTAGCAAATCATACTGTACAAGCATTGTTAGTTACGTTCATTGTCAGCTCCACTGAGGTTCAGCACTAACAATAGTGGGTCTCGCTGGCTTAAGAAAATCACCTTCTATTTCCCAGCTGTGTGGAGCTGAGACCCTGAGACGGACTTGCTGGAAGCTGGAGGTTTCCAATTTTAACTGGGGAAAGTCACATCCAACCAATCAGGAGCAGCCTTGAAGACCAGACACGAGACTCAAAACTACCAATGGGCTGGGCCATTCTACTAATACTATAAACAAACCTAAAATATAATTGGAAAACATGAAACTATTCACCCAGGACTAAAACATCATTTGTGCCCATTTAGCAAAGGTTTGAGGAACTGGAGAAATTTGCTAATTGCCTGGTGACAATAGATATTAAAGCACTAAAGCCTGCAGTTGAATATTAACATTGTGGAAAACATTTCCATTGAACACTCAAACATATTTTAATAAGGGGTTGCGGAACTATTGCAATCCTGATGGGGGAGTTATTGAAGGGTTCTGACGTAAATCCCCAGGGAATGGAGGAAGCTATGTCCCCGGGAGAAGGGTCTCTGGAAATCGATTGCTCAAAATTCGCTCTGAAAAAAGCATAATCCCCTCTAATTATTTCTTGCTCAGAATTGTCTGGCCCAGAAATGAGCTTCCTGGGAAACAGAAGCATTTCACAAAGATTTTGCCTAGTTACTTGAAAGAAAATCTTACATAATAGTACAATTCAAACAGAAGAATTGAGGATTCTGAATGTAGTCTGTACAGGGAGTGTGCCCTCGCAGTTCACATTAGGATGAGGTGACCTGCCAATGCCAGCATTTATTGTGGAGGCAGAAGTCGCAGCCCGAGTTTGACATAATCCCTTTCTCCCCCAAGAAGTAACTTGACTGAGGCAAATCTGAGAGAGCCCTACTCAAATTCCACAACTTCTGCTCAAGTCAAAGGCACGAGAAGTGGAGTTATTCGCCATCAGTCAACAAACAACAGAAATAGCGGATTAATTTGTCCTGAAAGAAATGGTTGCTGTATTTGAAACTTTAGGGGCAAGGACCCAACCCCAGATCTTCGTTGTTATACTCAATACTTTCATTTTTTACAATTTCAGATAAACCTGCAATCCTAGAGGCTGGAAAAAACAGGAATTGATCCACACGCATGGTGTTATTTTCTAGGTATAACTGACTTATTCAGCATCCGTGTAAATCCAGGTCGAATGCTTCTTTGGCAAATATGGCTAGATTCTCAATTATTCCTTACTTAGAAAACAAATTACATTCAGCTCTATAATCATCCCCAAGTATTATATACATTAATCAGCTGTTCTGGAGTTATAAACACAGCACAATCTGATACAAGCAAGAATGCAAAAAACAACACAGAAGCGTACATTCCAATTACGTAGAATAAAACAGATTTAAGATACTATTTCCAGCGAAGGCAATTCAAAAGCAGTTCACTTAAATAAAAGTAGCATTGCATATCCAAAATGAATGAGTCAAGAGGACAAGTTGTATTCAGGCTTTAAATATCACAGGTTTAGTCTCACCTAAAACAGGTACTTTACGGTTTGTTGAAAGAGGAAATCCCAACAATCACATATGGCTGTGCCTGGTATTACAGAACCCACATGGCACAGTGTCATGAGACTGGATGTAGAACTCTCAAATGGATGAGGTAAGCTTTAAACAATATAAATGTTTTAATCAGAAACTCACAACAGATGATTGTTTTAACTTGCAGCACATCAGGCAGAGATACAGGAAGGTTGGCCAGGTCAGAGATCCTGTTCCAGGTCAGGCTAAGTCCTAGTCTAATTGTGGTCCCTTTTATAGGGACACATTCTCCTCAGTGTTGTTGGAAACTGGTCACTAATCACACTAAAAGCTGTGCTATTCATCACCTCATTGGTCAATATTTGTTGTTGGTCACCACTTTAATGCCTTGAGGAATTGGAGCATGTTAAGAAATATGTAGTTATTGGCTAAATACCTTGAAAGGAGAGGTTCCATTGCTGGTTTAACTTGTAGAGGTGGGACTAGAAGCACTATGTATATATATATATGTGTGTGTATGTATATATTTGCATCCGATAGAACTTCAAGCAACAAGTGGCAAAATAAGGCCTACTCCAGAAGTACCAAATGTATTGGAGAAAACTACCTGGTATAAGATAATGGACAGTAAAATATTTCTCAGATTTACTCTCAATGAAAAGAGCACTGAATTCATCTCTCAAAAAGGTACTTTCAGTTGGGAAAGATGAACACAGCGGGCCAGTCAGGCTGTGAATTTTTCTACAGCTGTACAATGGATTGACACAAGCACTTGCACTGTACACACCCGCAAAGCACCCAACATACTACCTACCCACTGTTTGTTGAATGAGCAAACTCTCCAGCAGCTGCTGATGGGTCCATCACCATGTCCACCATCCTCACAATTGTCCCATCTATTCAGAAAGACTAATCATGGGATAATACTCTACGATTATGAGCATCACATTATGATATACAATATACTGAACTGATGTATCAATCTGCAATAATTGTTTTACCCAATTCCATAGTGCTGATAGTGTACCAAAGATATGATGAATAAAATTCACAGAACAATCTCAAGACCTAGGTTCCTGAAGAAGATGATTACCTTTTTAGGAGAAAGGCAGAGAAAATTTTCCATTTTCTTAACAAAAATCACTGTTGTAGCAGTTACTAAAAGTTATATTGTGACACTGCGACCAAACATGTGACCATTTAAGAGATGATTTCGCCATCATAAGTTTCAACAAAGTTGGCCTTTCTCATTTATCCAGCTCTTACCCTCACCATCTCCCAGGATGGGGTCATATTGTAGATTTTATAATCAAGGTTGTGAGGCGGAAGCGGAAACAAATGTCGAACACAACAGTTTACAAAACAGCTGGTGGCCAAAGGCAGATCACAGTGACTGTCAGCAGGAGTGGGACGGACGGCTAGATAGAATCGCTATCTCAGCTACCGGCTCTGACCCTCATCTCCAGCACCAGGACTAAGTGTAATAAGGCCTGACAAAGAGGACCTGCCATGTTATTGGACTTTGTTCTTCTTTTAAAACGCTTTCCCGGTTTGTTCCCGCCTGCGGTAATCTGTAATGGCTATGAACAAAACCTTGACAATTCAAATTCCAGGATAAAGAACCGATAATTTTATGAAGATTAACAGCCAATAGGAGTCATTAGCCTGGGAAAGCAGAGTGTAGTCACCAGGTATTGCCCACCACAGGAGCAGGCAGTAAAATAAGGCATCTTTTTTTTTAAATCCCATTTTCCTCAAAGGAGGTTTTTTTTTTTCTTTTTTCAGAATATCCAAGCGCAGCTGTACTGTCGACCCCAAATGAAGCGTGAAATTATATGTCAGCCAATCGTCCTCATGCAGCAGACATTCATACGGTGAAGGGCTTGCAATAGCCTTTGAATGCAAGTCTTCAGGCAGCTACGCAATGGTCCACTGGCTAGCGGTGATGAATGTCTGAAATCAGGCCCAGGTTTTCTTTAGGGCCTTGAGGTGACAATAGCAATGTTCAAAAACAAGATCCAAGGTTGAAAGAAGGAGTCTAGTGCTCTACTTGTCTGGTGTTTCGGGCTCCAGGATCTGCACAGAAGCAGGACTAGGCTTGGTGTTTGTGCTGCTCTTGATCAGATGGGTTATCGAGGTCTCAGCCAGACCAGTGGCTTCACTGGAAGACTGGAGAGAAGGCGGCTTTCTCTCTTCTGCACATGAACTGGAAGAGTGATGTTTACGACCAACTTCATCACAAATTGGAGGCTGCAAGAAGAATATTTGAATGTTCAGTGGCACAATATGGTCAAAGCAACTTGCAATTTTACCCAATCTGATATCTTGGGTCATTGGATGGATATTCAGCTCCATGTGGAAAGCAGTGAGTGAAGTTGAAGGGACCTAACAACCTAGAGATTTGGAACTTGTTGTTTAAGCACAAAAACTGGCTGGTGCACAGGAAGCCGCAGGCACAGTTAAACCTACCATTGCATCTTGCAATTACAGGTTGGAATTTTACAGATGCGAACAAAAGGTTATAACACAGTTCCATTGTATTTATTGCAATTACTTTGCTCCCACCAACCAGTGGGGATAAATTCGTGAGAACCATCTGTTACAGCAGTGTCCGTCAACTAATGCTAACTGCACCCAAAACAAACATTGAAAGTTCACAATCATTCAGGTCTTGAATCTTACTCACAGCTGGGTCAGGACAAATATCCTGGGAAGGTTAATGTAGGATTAACTACTGCTTGTCCACAGCTGTCTGCATTACTGCTGGTTTGTGACATTCGGGGACAGCAGTCTGCACCACCTCTGTCCCTCAGTCAGCATGAAGGGGGTGGGAATGCAGGCTGGGCTAGACTACCTTACAACTGGGATTGAATATGGAACTGTAGCTGAGTGTAAAGCTGCAGCACTGAAAATGCTCATGAAATACACGAGTACAGATAAAAATAGTTCACTCACATCTACTCGGAAATCTTCAAGCCGTTTGAAGTTGCTGAGGTTTTCCTGAAGTTGTGGCTCAATATGCAGGTTTTTAGCTTTTGAGTACTTTAGATAGGCCCAGAATTTCTCAAGTCCATAGAGTTGACCTAATATTTAAAAAAACAGCGCATGTGCACAAATAAATCAAGTGATTTAAGAATCTACAAGAAAATGTACAAAAGAATTGACGCATTTATTGAACATTTCTGAATTCAGAATTTTAAGAGACAAATTAAAAAGGTGCATTAAAAAGATGAAATGATTACTGAGGAAATGTTTTTATTCATTTTTCACTTTTAAAGAAAAAGAAGAAACTGTTCAACTCATTGCAGAAAGGAGAATTAACAACAGGGGCTGAATTAGCTTCTCACCAGCTTCATAATCCAGAAGGGTTTCTTCCTGGAAATCCTTGAAGATCTCATGTCTGAATTTCCTCTCGAGACCATAACTATAAAATCTGAAAAGGCATTCCAGTCCATACCTACAACAACAACAACAACTTGGGTTTATATAGCGCCCTCCACGCCGGACGGCGTCTCAGAGCGTTTTATAGTTTAGGATCCCGGGACGGAGCCGGGGGAGGGGGAGGAAGGTGACCAAAAGCGCGGTCAAAAAGAAAGCTCTTCAGCAGAGACTTGAAAATGGGAAGGGAGGGAGTGAGACGAAGGGCGTGAGAAAGGCAGTTCCAGAGCCTCGGGCCAAAGGCCACGGCCGCCGAGGGTGGAGCAGAGGACTCTGGGGACAAGGAGGAGGCCAGACCCGGAGGAACGAAGGCAATGGGTACTGTGCTGAGGAGAGAGGAGGTCAGAGAGGTCGGGGAGTGCAGAGGAGTGCAGGGCCTTGGAATATGAGGTTGAGGAACTTGAAATCGATCCTCTCTGGGATAGGGAGCCAGTGCAGTCTGGAAAGGTCTGGGGTGATCGGAGAGCAGAGTTTCTTCTCACCTAGTGTGAGAAGAAAGTGATACTGAAAGAAAGCTCTCAAATGCTGCTTCAAAGCACTGTAGAAGCAGACGGAGGAAAACATAAGAACATAAGAATTAGGAGCAGGCATAGGCCATTTGGCCCCTCGAGCCTGCCTCGTCATTCAATAAGATCGTGGCTGATCTTCTGATTACCTAACTCTAATTACCTGCCCTATCCCCATATCCCCTAATCGCTCTATTTTATAAAAAGTCTCAGCCTTGAAAATGTTCAAGGACTGAACATCTACAGCCTTCTGGGGTAGTGAATTACATAAATTCACTATCTTCTGAGTGAAGAAATGTTTCCTCAACTCTGTTCTAAAAGGTTGACTCTTAATTTTAAGACTGTGACCCCTGGTTATAGATTATCCTACCGGGGAAACAGACCCTCAGTGTCTATTTTGTCCAGTCCTTTAAGAATCTTATGTTTCAATAAGATCTCCCCTAATTCTTCTGTACTCTAGAGAATACAACCACAGTTTATTCAGCCTATCCTCATAGGTCAGTCCCCTCATCCCAGGCACTAACCGAGTGAATCTACGCTACACCCCCTCGAGGGCAAGTACGTCCTTTTTTAAATAAGGAGACCAAAACTGCACACAATACTCTCGGTGCGGTCTCACCAAGGCCCTATAAAGTCGCAGCAAGACTTCCCTACTCTTGTACTCTAAACCTTTTGCAATGAATGCTAACATGCCGTTCGCCTTCTAAGTTGCTGCTGCACCTGCAAACTAACTTTTTGAGACTGGTGTACAAGGACACCCAAATCCCTCTGAACACTAACACTATCTAATCTCTCCCTCTCTCGAAAATAATCTGTTTTTCTATTTGTCCTACCTAGGTGAATAACTTCATACTTCCCCACATTAAATTCCATCTGCCACCTACTCACCCACTCCCTTAGCCTATCTATATCCCATTGCAATCTTTTTGCACCAAACATTGTAAAACAACTAATTACAAGCCCTTAGCAATCAGAATAAGCAGCCAGGGCGGCTCTGCACAATCCATCATCTGTAGGAAATTACCTTAGTGACTTAAAAATTTAACAAGAAAATGTACAAAAGAATTGACACATTTATTGCAACCTTATGTTGCTGATACCGCAATGATGTGCAAACTTTGACATCTTAATGCTGTAAATCTGCTTTCACTATCAGCATCAATTTTAAAACACAGGACACAAGTAACAGCTGGAAAGCGAGATTAACAAAAGGCAATAAATAGTACACCTCGTGATGGCACTGGCATGTTACAAGTGGCCTCCTTCTGTGATGAAAATGTCTTGATTTGATACATCCTAGGCTGTCCTTCCTGACCAAGACTGCTTCTCCATATTGCCTGCCTCTGTCCCAATCTCTCCCAAAACCTTACCTAAGCCTGCTAATGTCCGTTTTTGCATATTTTTTATTTCACATTATAATATATACGGTTGTGCAGGAATTCAACTGCACTATTGAAGTCAACCCGATAATTTGGGCAAAATTTCTCAGGCCGTTTGCTGACCTTATTGGTGAGAATACATTGTATTTGCTCTGAGACACAGAGGTATATACCTGTAGCCTTCTTTACTATCCTCAACAGACAACTGCTTGAACTCTTCATACATCTTCTTGTTGAAATGGTCTCTTAGGAAGAAGGACCAGAATCGGTAAAGTGTGTTCATCTCTGGAGACTGTCCTATGCCTAGTCGCTTTCGCTCTGTCAGAGAAAACAATGTCAATGAAACCGCCTGGTGGGCAAATATTATTCCCCACATGTTCATTACTTTCAAGTTATTTACTGAGGAAATCCACCCCACCCCCAGTGGTACAATATCTTCACAGTGAAACGTTCCTGCACAAGCCACTGGATAATGATAAAGAATGTAATTTCATTTTTGTTTCTTACTCCCCAGCCCAGGGGCACTGAGGTGCATTGTGCAATCCAGGCATTCCAATGGCTGAGATCAGGAACTCAGATCAGGGAGCTGAGCCATCAGGAGAACAGGAAATTGTATTTAACATTTGGAAGTTCTACTAGAACTAGAGTTTAATAAATGTAATTTTGATGTTGTAAAAATAAATCCTTTTTACCCAGTCACCTACCATTGAGGCATCTCCTGCGGAACTTGTGATATACATGTTGGGTGAAGCCATTCTCCTTCAGCAACTCGTGGGAGGGATGCTGGAACTTTGGGAGAGACTGGGGGGTGCAGCCAGAACTTCCAGCCATTGGGATTCCCTCTGAAGGACTAGCATTGGAGCTGATAGAAAAAGGAACATTTGCTATCAACTTGAACATCACATTGAATGACAAGTAGCAATCACCGCACATGGGTGAGCACTAATTACTGTACAAAGTCAGGAAATGAATGATGAAAACAACTCTGATATGTAGTGGTATCCCCACTCTTGCCCTACCGCCACGCCCATTACCACCCTAAACCCAGTCTAAGATCATGTCAATTCCTACACAGAGCAATAGCGAAGTATGGAACTGGTCGGTCACAATTGAGCTTTTCGTAACATCATTGGAGAATTGTACAGTCACTGTGACTCCCAACTCTGTTTTAACTCACTCCAGCACAAAAGGCCACACCATTAAATGTAGGAACTGAGTGAAGAGAAACTTTCTCGTCTCTAACCTGAAGGAAGATGTCCTCGGTCGGTGCTCTCTGGAGTCCATCACCCAACCAACATGACTCTCCAGTGGGGGGTTTGAGCTGTGCCTCGTCTTTCTCTTCCGAGGAGTCTAAGGCAAAATACAGGAATTTATCAAAGCTTGCTCATGCTACAGCCAGCAGTGGATGGGGAGCAGACAGCCAGGGGTGGTGGGAAGCAGGGACCAAGGCCGAGGTAATTGGTTGGATTAAACAATATTAATTCATGTTTCTGGTATTTCAGCGTTCCGAGATACTAACCAACATGAAATACACAATATAAATGGCAGGTATTGTTGTAGTTGTATTACTCTACAGTATCACAGCTAAATCCATAATCTTTTAGGGTAGCGTTAATTTTAAATAATTGCAAAAAAAACTGAGTCAATATTTAATGCTTAGATTACATTAGTGATACCACAATCCCATAAGGTTCAAGCTTTACCTTTGCATCTATGGGCCGTCCTTCCTTCACCACTGGATAAAATCTGGGGGTTTGGCTTGGATCCTTTAGCCTGGGTGTCCGAGGTGTGCGAGGAGTGCGAGCACCACGGTAGTTTGGCGACTCTGGCACAGTTGTTGGCAAAGATCGAGCGACATAGGACACAGGTGGCTCAGCTGTACCAAACAGTTTGTTGGCCAATGCATCAGTAGGTACTGAAAGAAGATGAATTGTTTTCTCATGTTAAACTTGTACACTGTGCATGTGCTACTACAGCTAAATAAACAGATGCCCTCACCCAGAGCATGTGGGAGACATTTGCACACAGCAAACCTCACGGAAACTGGAATTAGCTCCACACATTCTGTAGATGCATGTGAACTCAATTGGCAATCCCCTAACCCTGGGAAGTCACTCTTAAACTGTTACCTTGCTGTTGTTTGGGTGGTCCGGGCGGAACTTCTTGATTTGGATCAACTGGAGGCTCAGGTGTCAGGGTGTTGAACTCCTCTCGACTGATCATGTTCAACTTCTTGAAGTTCTCAACTTCTTGCTGTAATGCAAACAGCACCCGTCAGTCCGACAACCACAGCCATTCACAATGGAATTGGAAAAAACATTTGGAGAGGAAGTACAGAGTGAGGAATTATGATTGGTTAGGTCCAGTAAGTAAATAACATTAGCTAATGGGATAGTGTTTTTTAAAAAAAAACACTTAAGGTCAAGGATTTACATTGAAGTATTAATAACACAAAATAAATTACTAAAAGTACAACAATAACAAGATTACATTTGTACAGCACCTTTCATGTTGGGAGGATGTGACAGTACAATAACAAATTGTTTTAAAAGACTCGTTTTTAAATCTCCCACCCCCATTCCTTTCTTGGTTCTCTACCATCTCTCTCTGAGCAGCCGCTGATCACTGTCTACAGAAGGAATGTCTAAGCAGTTCAGGGGAACTGTATGTCCACTCAATTCTGCTAGATTGCACAAAATAGAATTTATTTTGCACAGAAGTCTTATTTGGATGTGCAATGCCCTACCTGGAATGGTTGTTGAGGCAGAATCCATATTATCTTTTAAGAGAGAAATAAATATCTGAAAAGGAGAAATATATAAAAGGGTTTGGGGGAAGTGGGGGCTCCAATCCAAATTTTCTTGGTCCAAAGATTAAATTCCTGGTTCATGGGATCACAAATCCAGCTATAACAAGACAGTTCAGATAATCTGCTCCCATTTATTTATAATCTAGGAGCATCCCGTGGTTCGCTTACTTTTCTATGAATAAATGTTACAAAATACAAAACAGAAAGTGATAGAATGACGAGTTAAATAAACCTGCAGTATTCAGCTGTTTCCCTCAGGACTGGCTGAAAACACAGGTCAGACAGAAACAGCTGGGGTTCCCTAACCCTGGAACATTCAGTCTCAGCAGGCATTCAGCAACAGAGAAGTTTTTAGAATAAACCTAGTTAATCCATGAAAACTTCCAGTTTTAAACAAATGCTGATGACCATGAGTATTGCCACCCAGTTCACCTGATGATGGCTCAAAAATTGTCCTAGCATGGTGTGTTAGGCTCCCATCTTCCTTACTCTATTCTGGGCAAGCATGAGAATAGGAAACCTGAATTTATCAGAATGATAGGGTTCAAGCATTGTTACCACTCGATAAGGTTTCCTCTGACACTGGATCAGTGGACACAGGCTTACCTTTATTGTTGCATACTCTGGCTCATAGTCCTCTTTCCACAGGTCCTGCTCATAGTAGTAAAGGCCATCATTAATGACTTTCCCAAACTCCGATGTGAGTTTTGCTCTGGAGACGTGGTTCCCAGTGCGGTCCCCACCGGGATGCTTTCTCAGGTATGGAGGTGTCTGAGTGACGATCAGGATCTTGTTCACATCCCGATCATCTATTTCACAGTCAGAATCCTCGTCTGACCAGTCTGTGAACATGTTCTTCCGACCGTCCATCTGCTCCATCTCCTCATCAAACATGAAGTCCAGCTCTTCCTGTTCTTCCTGCTCCTCAAGCACCACCTTTCCAGTTATGGGCGATTTGAGTTCCTCTTTCTGAAAAATCCACAACAATGTTATTAGTGGGACATCCTCCCGATGTGAAAGGCGCTATACAAATGTAATTTTGTATTGTATAGTGCTGCATTTGCTTCAATATTTCTGTTCAGACATATAGTGTACAATATATTAAGTCAGCTTAACTATCAGCCCGGTACAGAACTAAAAACAGAAAGGTTTTTAGATAATTCTTGGTAAATGTTCAATTCTCCACTTTTCAGTGTACACTCTAAGCACAACAGAGAGACAGACAGGCAGACAGAGAGAGAGAGACAGACAGGCAGACAGAGGCAGAGACAGGCCGACAGACACAGAGAGAGAGACAGGCCGACACACACAGAGAGAGAGAGACAGGCCGACACACACAGAGAGAGAGAGACAGGCCGACACACACAGAGCGAGAGAGACAGGCAGACAGACACAGAGCGAGAGACAGGCAGACAGACACAGAGCGAGAGACAGGCAGACAGACACAGAGGCAGACAGAGAGGCAGAGAGAGAGAGAGGCAGGCAGGTATAGAGAGAGAGAGAGAGAGAGAGAGAGAGAGACAGGCTGACAGACACAGAGAGAGAGTCAGACAGGCAGACAGAAAGGCAGAGAGAGAGAGGCAGGCAGGTAGAGAGAGAGAGGCTGACAGACACACAGAGAGAGATAGGCAGGTAGAGAGAGAGACAAGCAGGCAGAGATACAGACACGCAGAGAGAGAGACAGACAGAGAGACTGGCAGAGATAGGCAGAGAGACAGACAGACAGACAAAGCACCTTTGGTTTAGCAAGGGAAGGCCGATGTCTTTTCTTCACTTCAATCCACGTGTCCGAGTCCAGATCAGGGAGACTGGTGGAAAGGCCCTTTGGCATTGTCTTCAAGTTACTTGGCTCATCAGTCTTGGAGTTGGCAGCACTTCCAGCTCGAGGAGAGCCTGGAGCAGATTCTTTCATTGAGAGAAAAAAAAATGCAATTTACATTATAGGATACTGTATGAACAAAAACATCATTTAAAGAGAATAGCTGCTGAACGTTAGTGAGAGCACCTTTTGGGGGCATTGTTTAAATCCAGAAACCCTGTCCTGAGTTTACATACCATCAAATGTTCATTTACTGAGTCACAAGCCTGACCTCTAAAGACAGACCCATCTTATCTCATACAGTAATCTTCCTCCTGGGGTAGAAAGAAAAACTGCTGGAAATCCAAGCAGGTCAATCAGCATCTGAAAGAGAAAGACAGGTTAACGTTTCAGTGAGTTCTGATGAAGGGTCACACCCGAAACGTTAACCTAGCTTTCTGGTTCCGATACGGATTGACCTGCTGTGTATATCCAGCATTTGCTGTGTTTAATTCAGTTTCCTCCTGGTCATGGATCAGAGAGCAACCCTTTTTCCTTTGGGACACAGCACAGCTCTGAGCAGAACAAGTTCAACTAGAACACATGGAGTGGGGGCACTACACAGCTGACTTGATATATGGCGCCACATAAATATAAGACAGGCCCTGATCAGCCTTAAAGCCAGAGTACCTCAGCCATTCACTTGATCACTAAACAGCAAATCACCATGGCATTGGAGACACAGATTCTAAGGAACAGGAGGTCATTTGGCTCATTGTGTCTGTGCTGGTGCAAGTTCTTACCACAAGAGCTCACTACCCCAATCCCATTCCCTTTCTCTTTAGTCATTGTGTCTCTGCTGCTACTAGCATCCCCATTGGAGCTACCTGCTCTAAACCCAATCCCCTGCCCTATTCCAATACCCTTTCATACTGCTTCTCTTCACACTTACCCAATTACCTTTAAATGCTAATGTCTTAGCCTCAATTGCCATTTGTGGCACAACATTCCGATAACACATTATATAAAAAGTTTGTTCCTGAGCCCGTTACTAATTTATCTACTAGTGGAAATATCCTCACTTTCTGAAACTTAAGAGATAAACTTCCAAGTAGCCAGCAGGATTAAACTCTCTCCCATCCCCCTGAGCTCTGCCCCCAAATGGAGTGGTATTGTGTTGCATTGAAGCAGAATTGGATAGGACTTGCCAGCTATGTTCATGTGGCTTGTCATTTAAAACCACTTGACTAATTAATTAGCACCCCATGATCACTCAGGTATCTATTTTCTACATAGCAAAGTTGCTTATTTTTCAAACTGGCCTTCACTCTGTCTCCTTAGGTTCTATTTCATACAGTGCTTGGTCTGTGCTCAGTTTCAAACCTTTTATGCTCCTTTCTCTTCACATTTTGATGAGCATGATCACCACAGCATCGCCCCAACACAGTGTACAATACTGCACACATCACTACGATTGCAATTAAAACATTTACAATCAAGAATAGACCTCAGAAGGATGGACTCTAAGCTTGTGGTACCTACCAGTCTGCTTTCTGTAAGTCTGTCCTGGAATGAACTCTGGACAGTTCAGCAATCTGGTGAAATCAGTCTCTGGCAAAGGCCACTTCTCAGGATTTTCCTTTTTTCTAATTTTTTTGTTGATAACTTCCACTTCAGTACTGTCCTTTAAAGCCTGAAAAGAATAATTTCAGAATAAGAACTCCTACTAATCGTAACAAAGGAGTTTTATTTTCGGAAACTATAAATAACTCCACATGAATTAGCACATGTGAGTCTCTGTTTATGTGTGCATCTATGAGTGTGAAAGTGAGGGTGCATGCATGTACCATGAGCTGGTTAACACTACCACTCACCTCCAGGATAAGATTGACATCTGTGGTCAAAGCCTGGACTCGGTGGAAGCCTCCAATTAAGGAGACTGGTAAGAAACCCTCTGCGTCCATCTTTCTCCTCAGGAAAAAGTCTCTTTCCAAGTTTTCAAGGCTAAAGTAGTATTCACTGAAATAAAATAAAAACACATGAACATTGCATATTCACAGCGGCAACAGAGAAAAATTAAGGTAAAATAACACATTATAAAACCTCAATGAATTGAATGAACATGTTATGAAGATTTATCCCTATTAAATGCTAAATATCTAAATAATTAACACAGCCAAGAAAAGAACATACGTGAGATTAAATCATAATTTTTTTGAAATGGTACAGAATGTTAGGTGTCAACCTGGCAGCACTCTCACCTACTAGTATCAGAGCTCAGAACTCACACATTTAGAGCGACACACACAACCTCAGCCCTGTTCAGCTGTGCAGTGAACCTAAAGTTGCACTTATAGGTTCCTTGGGGTATCCCAGGTCCTTGGGGCATCCTCCCAATATGAAAGGCGCTATACAAATGTAATTTTGTATAGTGTTGTAAATATATATATATGGTCCAAGCACTGGGTTGTACAGGCAAACGCCTCCAGTGCAGAATACGTCACTAGAGGGTGTCGGAGGACCCGATCTACTCATCTCAGATAACAACAAATTGCATGCAACTAGGCAACAAAGAGGTAGGTGGGTAATTTGTCACTATTATAGCCAGACTAGTGTGTCTCACACAGCCAGGAATTTTCAGCAGCTAAGATAAATAAGGTGGCTCCAGGCTGGAATGGAAATAAAATATGAATTCACTACCCTAATACAACTAGGGCTCTCATGAACAACATTACATTTATAGAGTGCCTTTCATGTCGGGAGGATGACCCAAAGCGCTGAACAGTCAAATGTCAGGGCCCGAGCATGGGGGAGGGGTGGTGTACGGGTGAGGGAAGGCAGAGACAAGCTCATAATCTCATTTTCATACTCATTTTCAAGCAACAAAACTAGTTATTACACTTTTCAGAATTGAGGTCAGTTATATGGTTTAACCATCATGAATATAAATACTTATATTGGTACTCACAACCCAAGAGTGTACACTAAACAAATCAAGGCTAACATGTAATCATTACTGAGGATGCCTTCCAACAACATACAGAAATACTTACTCTTAAACGTCCAAAGTGTTCAAACATAAAGAGTGTTAAATTCTCAAAGTAAGACGCATTTCCAGTACTTACATTTGTTTCTTGATGTAATCTTTGAGTAGCTTTTTGTCCATTGTATACAGCTCTGCACTACTCTGGTTATCATAGTAATAGATGATGTCACCACCGAATTTTGGTCTGTATATTCCATCATTGCCTTCAGCGTTTGGGTTATAGTTGTAATGGTAGTCAAAGTGAGCTGCAGGAGAGGAATCAATAGGCTAAACCCAAAACTAGAATTCAATTTTCCTTTAACAAAAAACTACAGTAAATTCAACTGATACAATTTATATTTACAATGTCTAGATGCAGAGTGCTGTGGCACAGTTACTACTATTGTGCTTTAGGTGCTAATGACCAATACATACAGCGAGAACCCCCTCTGCCACGTCCTCTTCCACGGCCTCTTCCTCGCCCTCGCCCTCGGAATCCTCCTCGGATAATTCCTCCCTCACTTTTTACACTGGAAATTTCATCACGATCGTCCCTCCAGTCGCGAGAGTCGTGTTTATCATCACGATGGTAGCCTTAAATAAAGAAGGAGTGATAGATATTTGGTGCACCAAATGTTTACCCCCAAATCTCTCTCCCACAATCAAGAGGTGACATTAACGCCTAGATTACATCATCAGTGCCCAGGTTAACTTCAAGTAGCAAAGAGATATCGTTTTTGGAGCCTGTGCCTGTAGATGAGACTGACGCTGAACAGGTGAGCCATTCCTGGTAGTGACCATTTAAGTCCTGATTCATAGGCTTGCTGCAAATAAACCTTATTATTTTAGGTTTGACTAATCTCAATGCCAAATAAATGCAAACCACATATTGCAATTAGCATAACGACAACAAATTACATTTGTATAGCACCTTCGTATCTCGTTTGCAAATATCAAACCTTCAGTCCTTTAGATCTTTTAAAGTGGGAATGGAATAGGGGGCTGCAGGCCTAGGCTAGGGTCAGCATCCAGACCATGAGTGGTTCATGAGTACAAAATATACCTTTGGATTCATTCCGGTTGTTGGCTGGTGGTCTCAGTGGCTCAGGCTGGGGACGGGAGTTGTTCCTGGAAGCGAGCTTGTCTTGGGAACCCTCCGATTTCACATCCAGTTGCAGTGGGACCCATCTTTGTTTGTAGCCTAAGAAAAGACCATCAACCGTTATCTTAAATCTCAAACCTCTCAAATTCTAGATCCAAACCTGAAGCAGGACAGCAGCTTCTTTAGGCATTGGGAGTTGTACAAAGAGAATATGCCAGGAAGATCATTTACCATAAGGTAATCTGCTGGCCCTCTTCAATTATCACAGATAATGGCATGGAACTGATGCACTATTCCACACATAAGGTGGAACTAGTTTTCATTGAACACCAACCACTTTATATAGCCACCTCCTGTGACATCAACATTTACATTTGAGATGATAGCACCTTTTCTCTTCTGTGTAGACTTCTGTGAATCCTCATCAGCACTCCTTTCCTCTGGTGATTCATCCGCCTTGGCTTTCTGGTTTTCTTTACTCTCGCTGCTGTCGCTCTTCTCTGATCTCTCCTTCACGTCTTTCTTTATGGAAACCTTCTTGTTTGGCTGTGGTTTACTGTTATGTGGATGCTGAAGTGAGGAAGAATAAATTACCAGAGACCGAACAGAATACAACATCCTAGCAGTTCTAAACTGTACTCATCACCATCATGGGTTTTTAATCTTGTTAATAAAAACTGATTTTAATGGTTCTTTGAAAGGAAGAATCAGCATCTGAACTGTTCAGAAATGTTGTGCAAAGTGCAAGACTATCTTCCTGCTTCCAATCAATAAAGTTGTGTTATGTATAAAAAAGAAATCCAAGGATGGAGTGCAGGGCAGAGAGTGGCCGAAGGCATGGTCGAAGAGGAGGGTCTTGAGGCGTGCCTTGAAGGAGGCAAGGGAGCGAGTGAGGCGACGAGAATGAGGGATGGAGTTCCAGAGGGTGGGGGCAGAGAGGCTGAAGGCTTGACCACCGATGGTGGAGTAGGACGGAGCCTGTTGAGTAGAGGGGCAGACAGGTTGAAAGGGGTTAGCAGGGGGAGAGGTAGGAGGGGGACAAGGCCATGGAGGGCCTTGAAAGTGAGGGCAAGAATTCTGAACTCTATCCTCTGAGGGATGGGGAGCCAGTGGAGCCGGGCGAGGATGGATATGATGGGATCACGGAGCCTCGTGCTGGAGAGGACACGAGCTGCAGAGTTCTGGATGATCTGCAGCTTGTGGAGGAAAGAACTGGGAAGGCCGATAACCAGGGCATTGGCATAGTCAAGCCTGGATAATGAAGGCATGTATGAGGGTTTTGGCGGCCTGAGCGGTGAGGCAGTGGTGGATTCTGGAATATGGCATTTTTCAACCCCACCCAAAGCTACAGGAAGCATTTCTCATGATAGTGATTGTCTTATGCGCACATCAACTACTAATACTGTGTAGTCCAGGCTCTCTCTGCATAAAGTGTACAATCGACCGCCTGCTTACCTCAGTCGAGGTTACTGGCTCCCATGTCTGGAACAGAAAAATAAAAAGAATTCAACATAATGAAAACTGAATTACATCCAAGCAACAAGTAGCAAACACTAACTGCAATATAGAAAACGACAGAAAATGGGATTAAAATACCTGACAAAACCGAACAATAAATGTTAGAACAGGCTCAAATGGCAATTCTTGTTGCCATAGAAGATTGCAGAAGCTGGAAATGTTCATATTGGAGAAAAGACGAATCAAAAGAATCTACTGACGTCTTCAAAAATCCTAAAGGCTGTATAGACCAGCATGACTCTAATACCTTATCCAATCTGGTGAAGAATTCCACAACCCTAATTATTTGAGATCATCAGTTACATTTATGAATATTCGTTCCTAGGTTGACCCATCTCCAACCCACCCACCCCCCACCCACCCCAACTCCTCTAAGCTCTAAATAGCCTGCCCCACGCACCTCTCCGACCTACTATCCCCCTATCTACCCGCCCGTACCCTCCGTTCCTCTGGCTCTGGTCTGCTCCACATCCCCCGCCCCAACCGCCCGACGTGAAAGGCGCTCAATAAATGGAATCTTGTTGTTGTTGTTGTATTGTGCAGTCAATAACTGGTGTATTCTAATCTAAGAGCTTCCTGTGTCTCTCCTAGACTGCAAAAGGTTATACAAATATACATTGTGATTGTTTCTTATCTACTCGCTAAGTTCTGAGGCCTGCAACTTGCACCATTAACGGGATGATGAAACAGTTCAACAGACAATACTCCTAGATTCACCCAGTTTATTATCAGGTGTTTTTATTTGTGCTTTTTTGGGGGGGCCAAAGTCCAACAAAGTTGAATTTAAATAGGTTTTCAAGGCAAAAGGTATTCTGCTTAGTATTCTACTGTAGTGCTCTCTTCTGATCATAATATGCTGCTTGCAAATTAGACAAGCACACTCAACAACAACTTGCATTTATATATGTCCCCTCACTCATGGTAGCATCCCAGGACTCAGTACTACAATAGAATTCACGCCTTCTGCTGATAGAACACCACAAATAGCATATGCCAGAGCTCCAAACAGCAGTACTGACTTATCAGAGTAGAAAGATGGTTTTGCCCAGCTCCTTTGCAGAAACCTCACTTCAGTAATAGTGGTGATAAGCATTGTGGACAGAACCCTAACAACATTAACACTCACCGTGCAGGATGTACAAAACACACTCTGCACACCAAAAGATCTGGATGTGTGTGTCAGATGGGCAAGCGTGTTGCGAAGATGAAGTCCCCTAGAATAGTGTTGCTATTCGAAGCACAATGCATTTTTAAACTTGTACTTTTAGTTCAAGACTACCAGAAATCGTATCCTCTTCTCATGAAGTAAATAACAAATAATCCTTACATTTGATATATTGTCTTTCAGGTTAGCGCTTAATAGGATGTACTGTTAAGTGTAGTGACTGTGTTTTTCTTAGGGCACCTTACCCATTGTACTGTTAAGTGTAGTGACAGTACCAGTTATTATCACTGTACGAGTGAGGGCAGTCTTGAGCAGATTATTATTATTATTAATTATTATTATAATAATGTGCAGTTGGGAGGGGCATTGCAGGGTGACGCGATCCAAACCCATTTTCCTGCAGAGGGAAATTACTTAGTAATTGCAAATAGAAACTCTGGCTGATTTTTCTCTCCCTAGCCCACAAAGGTCTACTGGAATAGAATCAAAATACAATTCACAAACAATAAGAATGATCTAGGTACTAATCCTGGAGAGCAAGGTGGATTCGACAATCTGCAAAGCAATATCATAGACATGGGCTTAGTTTAAATGCCAGCAATAGGAATTGAAACTCACTTGCATATCAGCAAACCGTTAAGAGTTGGGCAACTCATGTTACTTGAGGCACTCAGCACTATACTTTCAAGACTGAGAAAATTGCTCCCTTTCATTTCTGAACATTTGAATTTACACACCCTCTCACTCATCAGCTCAATATGAATGGCGGAGCGGAACACGTAGGTGCAGGTAAATAAGTAAAGCCATCATTCCATGGAGTATTCTAATGCAGGAACAAATGACTTCACATCTGCTGCATAGAGTTAGTCAAGAATCTGTATTCTTCGTCATATTCTATGCTCCAAGCCGTGAGCTGGTAAATGCCTCAAAGTGCTTCTATTCAACCCGGAAATCACTACAGGAAGCACCCAAATCATAGCACATCAAACCAGAACTTTTTCTGCCCAGTAATCCAGCCTTGATAATAGCAACTTAATTTGGTCAAAGCTGATCATCATTGATTCAGTCTCAAAATTCAGCAAAAATTCTATGATTCTCTGAAAATCAGCGCTACCTCTGGGAACCATCACCATTATACAAGCTGTACAATTACTTTTTTTGACAATTCTCTGATAAATTAAGTAAAAAAAAAAAACATCGGGATGATTGGACATACCTTGTTGTTTACTATTTCACCAGGCGTAGGCCAGTTTGTGGTGTCACCAAAATCACTAACCTGCAACAAGAGCATAAGGTTTCTTTCTTTACCACCATTCATATTTGAATATGTTTATAAGAAATAGTTTACAGTACTTAAAAATAGTTTTGGTTCAAGATGATAACAATCCTCGCATTAGATAGAGCCTTGTCATGTCATTGAGACATCGCAAAGCGCTTCAAAGAATATGTAGTAAAGTCACTGTGTATTGTGCACAGCGATGTCCCACACAGTCGTGGATTGAAGATAACCAAGACTCAATCCTTCTATTTAATAACATTTGAAAATTAAACTAGTTAAATAATCTTTAACAAAGATAATAGTATTGCTTTACATGACAACACTTTTAATAATAACCCTTACATTTAATATAGTACCTTATCACGTGATTGAGATTTTACCTTGTTTCCTTTCTTTGCTCTGGGGTTCCCTGCCTTGACGACTTTGGCTGGTGCTGGCATTTCTGGAGAAGAAGGAAACGGATAAACGCTAAGTATAAATGTTTATTTGGTCACCACCTCATTGAATACTAAGAGCCAATTGGCTGAAAATTACCCTCAATTGTTGACCCGCGACAGATGAGCTCAATGAGGACATCTTGGTGACATCACAACGGCCGTGTGAGCTCACACTGGGCTGAACCACAGCTACAGGGAACCACACATCTGGTCTTTTACAAGATTGATAATACAGCAGACTTTTCCCCCATCTGAACAAGGACTATTACATAAGGACGAGTATGCATGAAACCGAAGCTATTTTACAAGATTAGCTGAAATTAGTATTTTTGTCCTCCAATGCATTTGGAATACTAACTCAATAACTTGCATTCAAAATGAAATATCAGAAATGAGTTGGTTCTTTGAGATGGTTTTGTTGGTCCAGTTCCTAAACCAGACAGGTTCAACGTCAAGGCCCTGTTGCTGACAGACTAGCTCGATAGCTCGTCAGCAGGACCTGGAAGAACACATCAGTCACTGAGCTACATGTGCAGTCTCTTGAAAGTAAAGAAATAATATAGTTCTCATGATTTGGAAAGTTACTTTCTGTAAGAACTTGGTGGTGCACAGAGAATGACACTAATTTCACTGAATGCATTGCTGCCATACCAGGTGTGTTACTAGAGAGAACTCTAATATTTTCGCTGGTGTTTTAGTTCCATCCAGTGGCTGAACTTTGACACTGCAAAATTATTCCTCCCTGGACTTCAAGATGATTTCCTGTCGCTGCAAATCTATTTCTGTTCGGATAGTTCATGGCAGGATCCTAATCCTAACTAGCATATTGTAATTGTTGATTTAATAAGTTTTAAACAATTGACAAAAAGCATGAAACTAGAAAATATGCAGATTTACAGATGCAGTTAAAAAATAAATACAGTTCGGCCTACTTAGTCCATTAACCACTGTGTCTGGACAAGTGCTAGCACCCCCACTAAAGCCAACTCCTCTATCAAATGCCTGCTATTTTCCCGTAGCCTTTAATATTATTATTCCACAAATATTTGCTCAATTCCCTTCTAATTGCTATTATAAACTCGAGTTTTAGTAAGTATCCCAATAAAATTAGTGCAGTTAAAATCCGATATTTAATGCTAACAGTAACACCGCCCCTCACACTGTGGACACTTTGCATAAAACGGCAAGGCCAGCAGCCACCACCCAACAGCACTGATCATCTGAGAATCTCCCTATTGTGGCTCCAGCAAATACCATCAACATGACGGTTTTGGTTTTGACTTTGGGTCCTGCAGCCTGTTCTCATCCTTGGCCATCTCTTTCTCACCCAAGAATTTATATATAACGTACGTTGTTGCAATAATATCAATATATTCTCAGTGGTTTCAATGTAATTTTTTTGAAATTATAAGTGGCTGCTGACTCAATAAAATTCCCATCTCAGACCTTGCCTCTCCATGCCCCAATAATTTTGGTTCTTGATTCCATGTTGTATTTAGAAAATAAAAAATAAAAAATTATAATTTTTTTTGCTTTTATTACATGCATTCCTGTACCTAAAAACCTTTGCCTGTACGGGCACAAAATTTTAGGTATTAAAACTATTGCATTCTTTGGCCTTTACTTTGTTAGTGATTAATAATGATGGGCAGCTGATAACCAGAACCCACTTTGTACTTTTGGATTATTAGACAAAATCACTGGGTACATTTTACATCACATAATGTAGGAGCAGGAGTAGGCCATTTGGCCCTTCGAGCCTGCCCCGCCATTCAATCATGGCTCATCTTCTAATCTAACTCCAGCTAATAACCTGACCCTGCCTTATCCCCATATCCCTTAATCCCTTTTGCAATAAGAAATCTATCTCAGTCTTGAATTTTCAGCCTCCCCACAAATTTTGTTTATTGTAGAGATAAAATTATTGCAGTTAAAATTCGATATTTAATGCTTTAATGCTCCCCTTACACTGTGGACACTTTGCATAAAAAGGCAAGGCCAGCTGCCACTACCCAACAGCACCACTCTGCAGTGTTAACGCTCATACCAGTGCTGTGAATTTGAACCAACCACTGCGTTTACAGAATGACATTCAGCTCATTCAATGATCAAAAAGTCAACCAAAAAACCGTGTCACCAATAAAGGTGCCAGAAACCATCAGAATTGCTCCAAGCCATGACTTGACTTCACCATGAACAGAGAGCAATGCAATCATACCCACCAGCACAGCCTTGCGGAAACCAAGCCATTCTTCTTCTGTCTCGCTGTGGCACTTATAATAATAAAGAGAACCAAATGTTTGCGCTCGGATGACACTAGACAGATAATAATCGTTATATTTGCTATTTTGTCTTTTACTTCGGGAGAACGTACTAAAGCACTACGCAGGATATAATGTAAGGCACAGTGTCTATGAATTGTGGGTTAACTACTGTATTACTACAACTACTGTTCAGTGCCATGGGACATCCTTATAACTTGAAAGGTGTTATATAAATATAATTGTTGTTGTACTAACACGTGCAGCAAAAATATGCCTGCCATTTTTAGTAATAGCTCCTCCTTCAGTCCCTCCAATAAAGTTGCCAACATTCAAAACAAAAGTAAGCAAAAAGCATTTTTTAAATAAATATTTCTTGAACATTGACCTTGTGGATTATGAATCACCTGAATATATTGATTCAGCCTTGTAGCTCACTCTCAAATATGTATTTTTCTATATATAGATACATATGTAACCTCCATACCTTACTATTGCTTGCTGCTCACTTCACAACCCACCATCTATCAAGCCTTCAGCCATTGTGTCCTCTGTAATCGCTTCCAAAATCACCGTACCTACTCCATGCCTTCAAAAACTTCATAAAACTACATCTATTTGCTTTTGGCCAAATCTTTAAATCTCATATCCTACTGAGTGTTCACTACTACATTTGTCAAATGCTTTCAGATTCTTTTACAAGAAAGCCTCTTTATAAATGCATGTTCTTCTTACAATGAATTTCTTAAACCTAGTAACATACACAACTAGGATCTCTATCCACAAGTTGTTAATTACCTTTTTCTCTATTCATTCTCCAGCTTCACAACACTTAGTGTTTCATGTTGCTTTCCAGTATTTTTAGCTTCAAGGCATGAAAGCACTGCCTACATACAGCCACTGACCAATCCGAAAATGGTGACTCATCAACTATGGTAACTGCCAAACTTTACTTCTGGGAATCCAGGCTGATGCAACCTCATGCTGCAGTGTCCCTTTCGCGTTCATCTCCCCATTCAACCCAGACTAGTGTTTTATTTCAAACTTAAGTCAATTATAAGCTTAAAATAATATATAGTGTGGTGTATATATTGCATATCAATTATTTCCACTCCCATTTTCATAGAATCAGATAAATTATAACACGAGGTCATTCGGCCCACCCAGCTCCAATTGGAGCTCTCTATTCAAATCCTAACCCTCTGCTCTGTCCTCATTGTGTTTGTTAACCCTTTATTTGGAAAACATTTCTTCTAACCTCCTGCTTAACTCTTGCAATGACAATGCTGAGTTTATGCCTTCCAAACCTGCAGGAATGTTTTAATATCGATAATAATGATATAATTTATTATTTATTGTTATTATTATTTAATATTTATCCTCTTAAAATTTGAAGAGTTCCTTTATTTCCCTTAACCGTTAAAATTAGCCAATCATTCTTTTTGTTTGAACAGAATTCTAATCCATGACTAACCGTGGCTCTTTTGTGCAGTGAATTCACACGTACTAGGAACTGGTTTAAATGTGTTCATATGGAAACCTTTCAGTTAACAATAGGAAAACTTCCCATTGGATGGGTTGGATTCCCTTCCAGGTCTGCAAGGTGACAGCATAGTGTTTATCCCAAATTTCCTATTCGAGCATGGTTTTTACCAAAGGTCTATAAAAGCAGAAAAAAGAAAGTGCAGCATTCAGCAATGTTGCTGCCTCTGTTAATAAAAAAGGCAGGAATTTGAAGCTGCTTACACACTGAGCAGTAAACAATACCACCACCACCGACAACAAAATTACATTTGTATCATGCCTTTCAGGCCAGGAGAACGTTCCAAGGCGCTGGACAGTTACGGACCCTAGCTGAGGGTCGGGGTGGGGTTGGGGGAGCAGGGAGATCGAAAGCTGCTTACCAGAACTCAAGTGAAAAAGGAATCCATGAGCTCATGGTGCTGTAGATATACTGAAGATCACAATAATATAGTGGGAACAGTGCAATCCAACTTAAAAGTGAGAAGCTCCGCATTTAAAAAAAACTATTGATCGAGTTGAAACTAAATTCTCAGCTCTGCTTTCAATTCAGTTAGGCAAGGCAAACAACACATGCCATGTAAACATAGACCCTGAACCACGAACCCCCCATTTGTAGGTTCACACATTTACCAGGAAAGAAATCTCAATGTAATAATACATATTGAGAAATCAGTGCTTCAAACAGAGAAATGCCAAAGGAATTTGTTTTCCACAGTTTAATATTTGCAGATTGCAACAGAAAATGCATTATTTATTTAGTGCAACACTATCAGAACCCTATTGGAACAGATTTTTACAATACTGCCAATACATTATTTGGGATAATTGCCTTATGTTGACTATTCAATAAAAGGAACTATACAAAGATATCCACTGACCCAATAAACTATTTCCCATTTGGTTGGTCTCACTAAATCCCCTGATTCTCTTTCTGTAGAAAATATTTAATGTAAACTATGTGTACCTCATGCCACGAGTTTAAAAGAATCTCTTCCCAGAAACTTTACAATTAAACACAAATTGTGCAGATTATTCATTATTTTTAATTTTCTAGTGTTTTTAAACATCCCTACAAAATACACCATGGCTACGCTTTACAGTACATTATCCCCATGTGAAACGAGCTATACCAAATGTAAGGATTATATTTTATAATCCCCCTCAGCCTTAGCTTACTCCACACCTTGTTCTTTTGTGAGTAATGCAACACTTGCCACAGTGTAAGAAGAGGATATGCTTCTCAACCAAGGCAGCATTTGGGTCTCGTGCCCCTGGGATTAAGATGGGCAAAATCAGCCCCCCTGCTCGAGGGAAACACGCAGCAGGCCCAAGTAAGAGCGGAGAGGGGGCAAGCCGAGAGTAAGATAGGAGATCAGAATCTTTTTTCTCAATTTTCATCACACTATTGCCGATTCTAACCCCTTACCACCCTTTGTCTTCCTGTCTTACTATAATCTACAAGTTTCTAATACTCACAAAGGCTGACCCCATCTTCTATTCTACACTGCACCTTGTGGGGTGGGGTAAATGCACTATCTGCCTAGAACAATCACTAACGTTCTCACTTTAAAAAGGTCAAAAATGTCACATATACTAACCTCTCAGGTACTGAGGTTTTTTGGTGCAACTTTCCCATCTGCATCAACAGCACTGCAACGTGTCCCTGTATAGTTACCCCAGGGCAGCAACATACAAACAGCCTGAAGCACGCCCACAGCTACAGTTTGGTGTATTGCATTTTTCAATCACTGAATTTCATAACAAAAAGTCCACAAGTACAAAATACCCAGGCACTATGCGATATCAGCAAGTGGGCAGCCGTGCTGTCTCCAGTACATTTAAAACATTTACTTCACTAAATTTCAGACCAGGAATGCTTTGGTCCTATTCTTAACTTTCCAGTACCAGAGCAAGCGGCAAGAACACATCTTCTTATGCTGGGAAAGTGGCAGTGCTGCATTTCAATCTTTGCCAATGCTCACTTATCATGTAACCTGGTTTAATTTTGTCAAAAAGATGAAAACGTAGTTTAAATATTAAAATTAACTCCAGTATTAACTAAAAAGGGCTTTCAATATCCAAATATTCATTTAAAACTCATTTGACAAGCATTAGTCATGTTACTTTTAGTATTAATAATAGCCAGACACTTGTCTATCATGCTGCTTTCTGGTGACATTGCATGCCTATTCAATGTTACAGAGGAAATTAACCCAAGCTTTGTGGGAATGAGAATTTATCTCCACTAACTGCATGATCTTTAGCACAGTCAAGCAAATACCCTACAAATCTGGATGCGTACAGAGAGATTCTATGCCAAAATGTGCTCAGGTTGGAGATCTGGTTGTGGAAGCAGCTGGAAGAATGAGCACATGGTGTACAGTGAGACAGGCTGTCCCAGGAGGTGGAGCCACAGTGCACAGGGACAAGTACAGCAGACAGTAAAACGTGTAAGTCTTATCCTTCTGTTTTGGTTCTGATTTCCAGCATCTGCAATATTTTGTGTTTCGTTTAAGTCTTATCTTGATACACCATACAATCACCAAAGTTGTATGTGCACCCAAGTCCCATTCAGTTTTCTATCAAAACCATTTAGATTTTGTTCTACTATTCGGATTTTTCATCTTCTAACTCATAACACTGCTCCGCTCCATTACTGCTGCACTTACCGGCTACACTGAAACACGGGAAACGTAGCCTTGACCTGTCACTATATGTGCATTATCCGCTGCAGCAATGAACTACCACATGTGCACTTACCGGCTGCATTGAATTACTCACCCGCAATATAGATTATTGATTCATTTGGATTTTATACAATTTATACAGATTGCCTGCAACTCGGACTTTGTGTAAGTCACATAAAATGTTACAGTCCTGACTAATATGACTTGTGAGTTTTACAGTATTACAGCCAGCAGCAACAACTCACACCAACTCAGCCGGATAAAGCAATAGCCAATGATCAGTGGACACACACACCTGAAAAAAAGGGTCTCGGTATCTGTGCAGGAGGCCAGTCTCCGTGGGGAGAGGGGGCCCAGTCTGCGTGGGGAGAGGGGGCCCAGTCTGCGTGGGGAGAGAGGGCCCAGTCTGCGTTGGGAGAGGGGGCCCAGTCCCCGTGTGTCTGTGTGGGGGTTGAGGGGGGGGATCAGTGTCTGTGTGGGGGACAGTGTCTGTGTGGGGGACAGTGTGTCTGTGTGGGGGCCAGTGTTTGTTTGGGGGCCAGTGTGTCTGGGGGGGGGGGGGGGAGTGTGTCTGGTTGGGGGGGGGTCAGTGTGCCTGGCGGGGGACAGTGTATCTGTGTGGGGGACAGTGTGTCTGTGTGGGGGACAGTGTGTCTGTGGGGTGGTCAGTGTGTCTGGGGGTGGTCAGTGTGTCTGGGGAGGGGTCAGTGTGTCTGGGGAGGGGTCAGTGTGTGTGTGGGGGTCAGTGTGTGTGTGGGGGGGCAGTGTGTGGGGGGGGGTCAGTGTGTGTGTGTGTGGGGGTCAGTGAGTGTGTGGGGGGGTCAGTGAGTGTGTGGGGGGGATCAGTGTGTCTGTGAAGGGGTCAGTGTGTCTGTGAGGGGGTCAGTCTGTCTGTGGGGGGGGATCAGTGTGTGTGTGTAGGGGTCAGTGAGTGGGGGAGGGGGTCAGTGTGTCTGTGGGGGGGTCAGTGTGTCTGTGGGGGGGGTCAGTGTGTCTGTGGGGGGGGTCAGTGTGTGTGGGGGGGTCAGTGTGTCTGTGGGGGGGTCAGTGTGTCTGTGGGGGGGTCAGTGTGTCTGTGGGGGGGTCAGTGTGTCTGTGGGGGGGTCAGTGTGTCTGTGGGGGGTCAGTGTGTCTGTGGGGGGGTCAGTGTGTCTGTGGGGGGGTCAGTGTGTCTGTGGGGGGGTCAGTGTGTCTGTGGGGGGGTCAGTGTGTCTGTGGGGGGGTCAGTGTGTCTGTGGGGGGGTCAGTGTGTCTGTGGGGGGGGTCAGTTAGTGGGGGAGGAGGTCAGTGTGTTTGTGGGGGGTCAGTGTGTGTGTGGGGGGATCAGTGTGTCTGTGGGGGGTCAGTGTGTCTGTGGGGGGGGTCAGTGTGTCTGTGGGGGGGGTCAGTGTGTCTGTGGGGGGGGGGGGTCAGTGTGTCTGTGGGGGGGGGTCAGTGTGTCTGTGGGGGGGTCAGTTAGTGGGGGAGGAGGTCAGTGTGTTTGTGGGGGGTCAGTGTGTGTGGGGGGAGGGTCAGTGTGTGTGTGGGGGGGTCAGTGTGTCTGTGGGGGCTCAGTGTGTCTGTGGGGGGTCAGTGTGTCTGTGGGGGGTCAGTGTGTTTGTGTGGGGGGGTCAGTGTGGGGGGGTCAGTGTGTCTGTGGGGGGGTCAGTGTGTCTGTGGGGGGTCAGTGTGTCTGTGGGGGGGTCAGTGTGTCTGTGGGGGGGTCAGTGTGTCTGTGTGGGGGGGGTCAGTGTGTCTGTGTGGGGGGGGGTCAGTGTGTCTGTGTGGGGGGGTCAGTGTGTGTGGGGGGGGTCAGTGTGTGTGGGGGGGGTCGTGTGTGTGGGGGGGTCAGTGTGTCTGTGGGGGGGGTCAGTGTGTCTGTGGGGGGGGTCAGTGTGTCTGTGGGGGGTGGGGTCAGTGTGTCTGTGGGGGGGGTCAGTGTGTCTGTGGGGGGGGGGTCAGTGTGTCTGTGGGGGGGGGTCAGTGTGTCTGTGGGGGGGGGTCAGTGTGTCTGTGGGGGGGGTCAGTGTGTCTGTAGGGGGGGGGTCAGTGTGTCTATAGGGGGGGACAGTGTCTGTGTGGGGGACAGTGTGTCTGTGGGGGGTCAGTGTCTGTGTGGGGGACAGTGTCTGTGTGGGGGTCAGTGTCTGTGTGGGGGTCAGTGTCTGTGTGGGGGTCAGTGTCTGTGTGGGGGTCAGTGTCTGTGTGGGGGTCAGTGTCTGTGTGGGGGTCAGTGTCTGTGTGGGGGTCAGTGTCTGTGTGGGGGTCAGTGTCTGTGTGGGGGTCAGTGAGTGGGGGAGGGGGAGGCAGGCAGTAATGGCGGCTGCCCGGGGCGGGCCCTGACCCACCTGCTCCGGGCTCAGGCGGAGTCTCGCTGTCGGTGGCGGCGGAGCCGCTGCTCAGCTTCTTGGTCCAGGGATTGACTTTGGGCGGAGGGGCCTCGATGAACTCCTTCCTGCGGCCCCCGGGCTGTGTGTGGGGTCCGTCCCCCTCGGGGAGCGGCTGTGCCGGGGGCTCGGCCTGACCCGGGGCCGCTTTGCTCCAGGGGTTGACTTTAGGCGGTGGCGCCGCCACGAGGTGCGCGGTGTCGGGCCTGGCGCCGGCTCGAGCCCGCGAGGGCTGCTCCCCGGCCTCCTGCGCGGCCTCGGCCCCCGGAGGCTGCAGCGGGTTCGGCGGCAACAGCGTCTCCACCTGCGTAGCCATGGCTCGGCCGTCACTCACTGCGCCCCGAGGCTCCCGACTTCCCGGCCTCGGCCTCTCGCCGCCGTGTGTCCGGCCTCGGCCTCTCGCTCAGCGGCAACGAGCACAGGAGCGTCAACGTGTGGCCGGGTGCGCGCACGCAGAGCGTCAACGGGGTGGGGTGGCGCGCAGCGTCAGCGCGGACTCATGGGACCGGGAGCGCGCGCGCACAAAGGGAGATGGCCTTGACCTGCGGTGGGCTCCCGGGGCCGGGACTGGCCGGTCAGTCCGTAAACCCCGCGGGCCCTGACCCTGACCTCACTGCCCGCGGGGGGTGAGTGGGAGACGGTCAGTCACTGGACATCGCGTTCCACTCCACAGCAATGTCCAAGTGTAACTTGTGCCACGTGGGGTTTGGGGCCGGAAACCGTGGCGATCGGTTTCAAAATCAGTGACAAAAGATGACCACAAAGACTCCTGAACCGCACCGGGAAACCCGGGGATGCGGCCCTCGCGCTCTCACTGACTGCGGTCCTGTGTAACATTGGCAGCTATTGTTCCGACCCGCAGTCTCCGCCATCTAATCTCCTGGTCAATGGTAGTCACTGGTCAGCAGCTCGTCAGCAAACTGCACATCAGCAAAGCACATCAGCAAAGCCCACTCCCACTTAACACCAGTGATGCCTCCAGGCGGCCCGTCAGCTCAACATGGAACCAACCGAGCGCCGCTCCGGTGTCCAGGGCAGCAGCCGGTCAGCAAGAGCAGCAGCAGAATTACACAACCTGTAGCAGTGTCCAGGGTGTAGATACCTCCTTGAATGTGTGATGTAATTCAAAAAAGGGATTCACTTCAGCAGTGAATACAATATTTACCAAATTGAATGTATCAATAAGTGCCAGAGCTGAAAAACCCAGACTGCAGGGGCTCAAGGAGGGAATGGAGGGAGAGTTGTGATCAAAGTTGACCTGCAACAATTGTTCCAGGACTTTAGCAAGGAAGGGTAGGTTGGAAATCAGACAGAATCTTTGCCAATAATCCAGAGGATTGTTGGCACAGATCCTGGAAGAAACTCCCTTCTCTTTTACGAAAGAGTCACAGGATCTTTAACATTGTTCTGATCAGACAGATAGAACCTTGGTTTAATGTCTCATCTGAAGGACGTCACCTCTGATAATGCAGCACTTCTCTTGTACTGCACCGTAATCAGCGCCTTGGGACGTCCTCCCGACGTGAAAGGTGCTCCATAAATGTAATTTTGTTGTTGTCAGCTTGGATTGCAAATTCAAACTGTGACATGAGGCTTAAACACACATCTAACCCAGAAATGATTGAGCCTGGTTAAGATTTTAAAAAGTTAAATTTTGTGTCAGAAAAGATGATATTTGTGGACAGAGCTGTGAGTCAGCTGCAGAAGAGGCAGGAAATCCAATTCCCATTTTAGTGTCAATTGGAGTTCAATTGTCTGCAAATGAATAGGTTTTACTTCAGATCTGGGGGAAGGTTAGCTATTGTTGAAATAAATGTATGGTATTTTTGATATAATAATAATCCTTCCATTTGATGTAGCACGTTATCACATTGTTGAGACATCTCAAAGCACTTCACAGATTATACTATATATTTTGTGGGCAAAACGCAGCAACAACAACAACAAGATTCCATTTATAAAGCGCCTTTCACGTCAGGAGGACGTCCCAAGGCGCTGCACAGTTGGGTCAGGACCCGAGCTGGGGGAAATGGTCAGGGTGAGGGGAGGGAAGGGAGGGAGCGAGGAGGGGGAAGAGAGTCGAGAGGGGAGCTGAAGGCTCGGTCAAAGAGAAAGGTTTTGAGACCGGCCTTGAAGGAGGAGAGGGAGGAAGCGGCGAAGGTACTGGGGGATGGAGTTCCAGAGCCTGGGGGCTGAGAGGCTGAAGGCCCGACCACCGATGGTAGGGCGGTTGGGGCGGGGGACGTGGAGCAGACCGGAGCCGGAGGAACGGAGGGTACGGGCAGGTAGGTAGGGGGATAGTAGGTCAGAGAGGTAGGAGGGAGCAAGGCCGTGGATGGCCTTATAGGTGAGGATGAGGATCTTGAAATCAATCCTCTGGGGGATGGGGAGCCAGTGGAGGCGAGCGAGGGTAGGAGTGATGTGGTCGCGGTGTCTGGTGCGGGACAGTACACGAGCTGCAGAGTTCTGAATGACCTGCAGTGTGGAGGGAGGTGGTGGGAAGGCCGGCGAGGAGAGAGTTCCCATAGTCCAGCCTTGAGGTGACAAAGGCGTGGACCAGGGTTTCAGCAGCACATCAGTACCCCACAAACAGTTGTGGATTGAGTGACCAAATTATTATTTTTTAAAAAAGGGGTTATTACCCCTGGAAAGCAATCCACTAATTGACCAACAACCATGTTCCTTCACATTGCTAGGTAAACAAAGGTGTGTGTTGTAAGGAAACTTGCCTGAGGTTTCGCCCCACTCATGAATGTCACTTGCGAGGTTTGTGTGCTAACCACTACGGTATGGGACTCGCCATGTTTATTCAGGGTGTTAAGCTTTACCGTTGTTGCCTGTGCAAGGATTATTAACCAGGAATAGGAATACCCACAAGGTGGCGCATTGGACACATTTTCTACTGTTACCGCCTGTGTCAGTGGTTGAGGATGTAACAGGCTGAATACTAAAGTTAACTTATGATCACGCAATAATTTATTCCATTGGAGAGTATAGGAATAGAGGCAAATATTGCAATCTTACTCTGCTTATTGAGATCTAGCCCAGTGCTGGTCTCAGTCATATAACAGAAGCTTCTGTTGTTTCTACAGCGCTTCTGTGGTCACAGAGGAATTCTTGGAAGTTGTTGATGAATCCAAGAATGAAGAAGTTATGACAGTAACAAAGTCTAAGGGAATTAAGTTACAAGAAGTACCCAAAGAGTTTATTTTCAGGATACCACATCATTTCCCTCTCCCGTGAGATCCAGCTGGAGTGACTGCCGCTTGCTTTCACTCTCTGTTCGCAATAACCCATAAAAGAGTCTCCAGTTCATTGAATATAACAAATTATTTTACATTTTCAGCTTATCTACTTCTTTGTTTCCAATAAAAACAATTCTCTTTTATCTTTTCTCTTTTTAATTTGCCTTTGGTGCTGCAAAAACCTCATTTTGGATCTTGAAACATTTGAACATATTTTCCCCCCAAAACATTGCTCAGTTGGCCACGAAAACAAATCATCTGGAATTTTGTTCATTTGTCCAGCTAGGACCACCCTACTTATTAGGGCTTTGCCTTGCAGTGTTAACAGGAGGTTGGTGGGAATTTGTATAACAACAAAAAATTACAATTACAAAGGCCTTTCATGTTGGAAGAATCGCTGCTGCGTTTCGCCCACAAAATATACAGTCAATTCACTTTACAGTATATTCTGTGAAGCTCTTTCAGACGTGTCGAAGATGTGAAAAGCATTGTATCAAATGCAAGAATTATTATTATTTCCACTGGTCAGTGTGTCAGTGACTAGAGGGCATCAATTTAAGATAGTTAACAAAGTAGCAAATGGGCAGGTCAGGAGAATTGTTTTCACATACAGAATAGTTAGGATATGGAATGCTTTTGCTGGGAGTGGTTGTTGAGGCAGAATCCATATTAGCTTGAAATTGGAACCAGATAAATATCTACAAAGGAGTTAACTACAAGGGTATAGGGAAAGGACAGGTAAATGGGCTTGAAAGGAATGTTCTTAAAAGAGCCGGCACAGACATGTTGGGCCAAATGACCTTCTTCAGTGCTGTAAATTGTTATAGTTCCAACATTGCTATGAAACATGAATATAACCTTACCTGTAAATGGTTAAGAAAAATTATAATCATTCTTGAACAAGTTCCAGCGCCTCTGTCTCTAATTTGTTTTGTTAATATTTCTGTGTAAAAGGGAAATGGATGACATAATCGAGAGTGGCTGAGTCTGGCACATCAGCAGAAATGAAGATCTGTTGCAACGAACTATGACATTGACTCGCAGCAGAATTACCCTGCACCCATTGCCCTGCGACCAACACTCAGTGTATATTTGCACCAACTACGTTCCCACTTAATGCTGCTCCTTCCTCCGATCACAATTTGATTTAAAATTCTCTGCAACATGTTGACAGGTCCTGTCCGGGTGCCAGCAATGATTGGAAACAACACTATTTCCCCAATGAGAAAATTGGGAATCAAACACGCTCTGAAAATGGATTGAAGCTTGTTACCGAACGCTACAATATCCAGAGTAATTTTATTTTAAACCGTTTAGGAGCACTGACAAAACAAAGATGTAAGCTATTAGGCCATGCCCTTTGACCTGCAGACATTATTAAATCTGTTACAACAGGACTTGCCTTCCTCTGTGGAACCACTGATCAGAACACAAGTTGCATATCAATGAAGAGAACACTGCAGAAGTTGTAACTGCTCCACCATTAGACACCAAGAGCAAAACCCCACAATAAAATATAATCTGATTTATCAAGGATTGCAACTGTGTGATTCACTTGTGTCAGGGCTGAGTCTCAGAAATACTTCCTGATCGCTACACATTTCATCTGTTTTGTCTTAGTTCCATGTCGTAAATTGTGGCACATGTTACTTTAATGCGATTATAATGACAGTAATGGTTTGCCTGAATTGATGTTTGTGTTTTTTACGAGGTGACAGTGAAGCCTCAGTCTTATGGCGGGTTGTAAACCCTTAAAGGAATGTTAATTGGCTGAAGATGTGGCCAATCTGGGCAGCATGAAGCGCCCTCTTTATTTTCATGATTTGACTGTTGCTTCTGTTCCTCAGAGCCCTGAAACTGGCTTCAATGTTTTACCTGATTCACTAGCATTGAACTATATTAACTCTGCATTCTGCAAGCACAGAGCTGGGCTTCTGTTTGCAGAGCTGTCATCATTTGTGTTCATTCAATGAAATGTCACGCCTGCCTGGCATTGTGCATATGGAAAGGAAATATACAATTCAATGGGGATTTTACAGCATTAAATAGTCAGTTCACACCAGTGAAAATATTAGCTTTTGATGTAAGCACAATCCAAGATGTACATTTGATACATTCAGCCATTTTACATAATGGAACAT